TGGTCTTAATCTGGACTGAACATCCTCTGGTGGAGTGGGACAATGCGTAGTGAAACTGTGAGGCTGGGCAGGTGGCTCAGCGTTCTGGGTCCCATCCCCAGAACTCACAGAAAAACGCCTGGCATGCTGGTGTATAGCTGTAATCCTAGCCCAGGGAAGGCAGGGACAGGGAGATCCCTGGGGCTCCCCAGCTAACCAGCCTATAGCTGAATCGGTGAACTCTAGGAAAATGAGAGACCCTGTCTCAAAGGAGGTGGGCAGGGTTCCTTAAGATGACCCTTGAGGATGTCTTATGGCTTCCATATGCTCAGCAGCTAAGAGCACTTGTTGCTTTTGCAGAGGACCGAGTTCTATTCCCAGAACCCACGTGCCAGCTTACAACATCCATAATTCAGTTCCAGGGGATCTGATGTCCTCTTATGACCTCTGTGGGCACCAGGTACATACGTAGTACACAGACAGATGCAGTCAAATCACTCATACACATTAAATAAAAACAATTAAATCTAAAAGAAGAAAAGAACTGGCTACTTCTGCTTTGTGCTCTTGGAATGCTGTGAAATTTGCCATTGAAAGAGGACTACCCTGGTGTCATCTTCTTCCATGTCCTGGATGATGCTTCCAGTCAAGCCCTTGTCCATCACTCCATCATTCTGGGGTGCTTTGTGTTTTTACTAACAACTCCCCTCTTCCTGGCCCTCCTCCAATGGTGGTCATGTGTAGTGACCTGAGAGGAAACACCATGAGTCATACCACGGCCAGAGACAGTCACAGATGGTCTGGACAGAAAGAGCCCTGGTGCCTTCCAGCACCAGGAGGCTCCCCATGGCAGTGGCTGGGTCTTGGATGTGCTGGAAGGAGGAGGCAACTTGAGCCTTTTTCAAGAAACTGTCTGTCTTCAGACGCCACACTTTCCCCTTTGGATGTCAGTTCCGGGATCCCCGAGCAGTCAGGGCACCTGCACGTGTGTGTTGCCAACTGTGCGAGTACTTCATACTTCCTGAGTTTTGGATACAAATGCTTAACCAGATATGTGTTTTGAAAATATTTTTCTCATTCTGGCTTATTTCTTAATGTATTTTGATACACAGAGGTTTTTTTTTTTTTTAAAATTACATTTGGTGCGTGCGTGCATGCATGCATATGTGTGTGTGCACGTGCGTGTGCACGCATGTGTGCAAGTGCACGCGTGTGTGTAGTGGTCAGAGGACCAGTTACAGCAATCAGTTGAACAGGGATAATGAGAGCAGACATCCTTGCCCTGTTACCTTGTCAGAGGAAAACGTTCAGTCTTTCACTTTTGCACAGTGTTGGTGGTTGTGTTGTGTTGTTGTTGTTTTGTGAGCTGATCTGTATTGTCCTCTCTCCTCATGCATGGTGGCATGCACCTGCAGTTGTAACCCTCAGGAGCCTGAGGCAGGAGGATTGAGAATGCAAGGCCAGTCTGGGCTGCGTAACAGTCGATGACTAGCTAGGCTACATAGTGAGATGCTGTCTACCTAGTCTAAAAGTGCAGGATTTCACTTTTTTTTTTTTTTTGGTTTTTCGAGACAGGGTTTCTCTGTGTAGCTTTGCGCCTTTCCTGGATCTCGCGCTGTAGACCAGGCTGGCCTCGAACTCACAGAGATCCGCCTGCCTCTGCCTCCCGAGTGCTGGGATTAAAGGCATGCGCCACCACCGCCCGGCAGGATTTCACTTTTAATTTTATTTATTTATTAGTTTTTTTGAGACAGGGTTTCTCTGTGTAGTTTTGGTACCTTCATTTTAAATTTTAAATTGATTAAAAAATACTAGGCTTCCATTCCTGGATTAAAGCTCAGTTAACTGTAATAATGAGTTATTCTTCTGGTGTATTGCTGGACTTTTAATTTATCCCGAGCTGTGCACACTGTATTGTACCAGTGGTGTTTTGTGGAACTCTATGAACTGGAGTCATTAGGAGGCAGATGTGTCCACCTCAAGTCCGTGGGCCACTTGCAGCCTGGATTAGTAAACCATGAGTGTGAGTGTGTGTATGTGTGTGTGTGTAAGTATATGTGTGAGTGTGTGTGTGTGTCTGTAAGTATGTGTATGTGTGTTTTATAACTTGACTTGGTTCCTGAGTGTGAACTTTGTAGATAACAACATCCTGTTCAGTGTGGAAAAGTTGAATGAGGCTGATGGACAGACAGCCTGGCAGTGGGGAAGAGCTTGTCGTGGTGCCTGCCCTGTGGGGTGCCAGCAGGGTTGTGTGGAGACTGTCGGGAGGTGGCTGGCCTTCAGGGAGGGGAAGCTGGGCAAAGGGAGAGAAGGAGACCAGCCCCGGGAGTGGCTGGCCTGAGAAAGAGCATCCCTCTCTGCTTCCCCATTTATTGGTTAGCTGTTTTGTTCTTGAGTTCATACGTGTTCTAGTGTCTGATACCAAGTGTGCCAGCTGTCTGTGTGCCTCGAATGTGAAAGGTCTCATAATTGGCTCATGTGTGTAAACACTTGGTGCCCTTTGGGAACGTTCTGGAACCTTTAGGAGGTAGAGCCTTTCTAGCAGAAGTCTGTCACTGGGGGTTGGGGGCAGGCCTTGAGGCCAGCTTCCTGTTTGCTCTCCACTTCCTGACGGCAGAAACAGTGTGAGTGAGCAGCTGCCTCACTGTCCTGCCACTGTGCCCAGCCCCCCACCGTGATGCTTTCATCCTTGAACTGTGAGCCAGAATAAAGGCCTCCTCCCTCAGATTGCTTCTTGTCATGTGTTAGGTCACAGCAAAAAAGGTCACCGGGGCTGGTTAGATGCCTCAGTGGGTGAGGGCACTTGCCAAGCCTGATGACCTGAGTTCAATCCCGGGGACCCACAGGTGGAAGGAGAGAACTGACCCCTGCAAGTTGTCTGTAGAGGGTACGAGGTCCTTGTGCACACAGATAAGCAATAAGGAAAACAGGAAAGTTAAACACACGGGCTTGTCTCTTCAAAGGAAGGAGATGTTTGCCTGGCTTCCACCTGGAATGCTGGGAAGGATATCGTTCACAACCTGGTGATCTTTTGCTATCTGTCGGGCCAGGCTTCACCTGAATCCCCCAGACTGTTAGGTTCGTTTATCCCCGACTTTCCCCCTCTAAGCCTTGAGCATTGCTTCTCAGTCCATAAAGCCCGTCCTCATGAGAGATGCCATTTGTACTGTACGACAGCCTAGGTGACTTCTGTGTTATCACAGGGCCAGACCAATCCTGACCCCCACAGGCCTTATGTTTACAAACTCAGTCATTCTCCCTAGACCCTTATCTTGAGCACTGTTTCTGAGTCAACAAGAACCCATCTTTATTGAAGAAACCATATGTATGAGTTTCAATGTAGCTAGGAGGTGGTGGCACACACCTTTAATCCCAGCGCTTGGATCTCTGTAAGTTCAAGGCCAGCCTGATCTACAGAGAGAGTTCTAGGGCAGCCAGGGCTACACACACACACACACACACACACACACACACACACACACACACACACACACACACACAAAGTGTTTCAATGTTAACATGTTTTAAGCTTTGTTGTATCCATGGGAAAGAGTTAACTGTCATCAGAAAACTTTTCCCCAAAATTGTGCTGTGCTTAAATACGGCTAAAATAAACCATCTGGCATCAGACTCTAGAAGTTTGAACCAGTGATGGCTAATTAAGTCGAGCTGAACTGAGTTTCATTTCTTGCCTCTCCCATAGTGCCTACAGGGTCCCCCATAGTTTCTTTGACCTCTAATACACATTGTGGTACATGCCCCCAACAACCTCCCAAAAAAATGAATAAACAAAAGTTTGGTTGTTTTTGTTTGTTTGTTTGTTTGTTTGTTTTGAGACAGGGTTTCTCTGTGTAGCTTTGCGCCTTTCCCTGGAACTCGCTTTGTAGATCAGGCTGGCCTCAAACTCACAGAGATCCGCCTGCCTCTGCCTCCCGAGTGCTGAGATTAAAGGTGTGCGCCACCACTGCCCAGCTTTTTTTTTTTTTTTTTAAGAATAACTCTGGGTAAGTGTTAGAAGGAACCCAGAGGAAGCCAATCTAAGCAAAAGAAGAGATTTACATAATTGTGTCAGTCAAACACTGAAGTATGAGCCTCAGGCAATGCTTAGCCCTAGTGTCTCTGGCCGCTCTCCGAAGGCTCTGGGCAAGCTGCCTCTTCCGAGTCAGTAGATGAAGCTCCCGTAGAAGGGACTGGAGCTGCCTTGCACCTGCCTGGCTTGGCTTGGGTCTGCATCCTGCACCAGCCCCTGGAGCCAGGGGGAGGCCTGAGCTCAGCCTAGCCTCTTCACAGCCCTGGTCACAGCCACGCCACAGGCACGAAAGAGCCAGAAGGAAAAGGTATCTCCCAGCCAAGAGGAATGGAGCAGGGAGAGTCCAGGCAGGGTCTGAACAGCCATACTTGGCTGCCTCGTGGAGCTGGGGCAGACCTGCTCCCTGAGACACACACATGCACACCTGTGGAGAGTAATGCCAGCCTTGGCACTATGGTTACAAAAGTCTGGCCTGGGGTTCCCACTGGTGACCATGGTGACTGTTCTTGTCTTGACTGTAGCAAGATGTAGTTTTTGGAAGTAAATGAGTGACAGTAGAGAGCTAAATGCCCCACAAGGCCACACCGGGGAGACTTCAAGGGCAGGAGGAAGCAGGGGAAGGAGACAGGGTGGCCGAGGAACTTGGTTGTGGTTTCTTTGGGTAGGAGTGTACAAGGCAGTGTAGGCTCCAGAGTGGCCAATGGATGATTCTGGAAGACTCTGGGCAGTCTCTGGTCACCCTAGTATCTGGCATTGGGGTGTTATTGGCCTGGAGAGTGAGTTTGATAGAGAAGGAGGGCGGGGCTCTAGGCTCTGGGCTCTAGGTGGGTTTGCTGTGTACCCGGAAGTCATGTTGACAGGTCAGCTTTGACATCTCCACTGTCAGCGGGGAAAGGGAGGAGTAGTCTCCCCAGGATTAGCAGGCCAGGCTGTCAAAGCTTTCCCAGGTCCAGACAGTAACAAACATGGCTGCTGTGGTGTCTCTCTGCAGGGTGTTCTTCCTGAACGTGCCATTGGATTCCATCCTGGAGCGAATGACGCTGAGAAGGACTGACCCTGTCTCAGGAGAAAGGTTGGTCAGGGCTTACTGGTGGCTGGTCATGGAGGGCTGTTGGTGGCCAGGCCCCCTGTACAGCCGCCTCTTCACTAAGGTGCTCAGTGCCTTTGTGGACCTGCTTCAGGACAGCACTGGCTACGACAGACGGAGGCTACAAACAGGGTGGTTTTGTGAGTTCTGGGCATGTCTTTTGGCTCCCTGTCTGCAAGAGTGAGGGAAGAAATGTACCAGGCCCTGCAGCAACACACTGGTTAAGTATCTGGTCACTGTATTCCCAGCCCCCAGCTGGACTCCCCTTCAGTAATGGCTGCACCAGATGGGCAGGCTGTTAATACTTAACAAATAGTGTTTGGAAGGATGAAAAAAGAACAGATGAAGCCGGGGAGATCTCAGATGGTAAAGTGCTTGCCTTGAAAGCACGAGGACCTGAGTTCAGTCACTGGAACACACACAGACACACAGACACAGACACAGACACACACACACTTAAAAAACAAAACAAGCCGGGCGGTGGTGGCGCACGCCTTTAATCCCAGCACTCAGGAGGCAGAGCCAGGCGGATCTCTGTGAGTTCGAGGCCAGCCTGGTCTCCAAAGCGAGTTCCAGGAAAGGCGCAAAGCTACACAGAGAAACCCTGTCTCGAAAAAAAAAAGAAAAAAAAAACCAAACAAACAAAACAAAACCCTTTGTGGTGGTATATGCCTTTAATCCCAGCACTTGGGAGGAAGAGGCAGGTGGATCTCTGGCTTTTAGGCTAGCCTGGTCTACTTAGGGAGTTCCAGGACAGCCAGGACTACATAGAGGAAATCTTGTGTGATGACTGTTCTTTGGTTGTCAACTTGACAACATCTGGAATTAACTGAAACCCAAGTGGCTGGGTACACCTGTGATGGGTTTTCCTCCCTTCCTTCCTTCCTTCCTTTCTTTTTTGTTTTTGTTTTTGTTTTATTGTTGTTGTTGTTGTTGTTTTGTTGTTGTTTTTGAGACAGTTTCTTTGTGTAATAGCCAGAGAACATATATATATATATTCATTCTATCAGTTCTGTTCCTCTAGAGATCCCTGACAAAAATACAGATTTTGGTACCAGGAGTGGGGTACCAAAATACTTCTCTCTGGAACAGGAGAAGGCTCTTCAACAGATTCAGCATGCTGACCATTTGGCTGTTCTATCATTTGAACATTATGATTCAGCAGACCTGATGGTACTTGAGGTGTCAGTGACAGATAGGGATGCTGTTTGGAGCCTTCGGCAAGCCCCTTTGGCAAGCTCTTCTGTGAACCATAGAAGAAACCTTTAGGGTTATGGAGCAAGTCTCTGCCATTGTCTGCAAACAACTATTCCCTTTAAAAGACAACCTTTGGCCTGCTATTGGGTCTTAGTGGAAACTGAACATTTGACAATGGGCCACCAAGTTACCATGCGACCTGAGATGCTCATCATGAGCTGGGTGTTATCTGACCCACCAAGTCATAAAGTAGGATGTACACAGCCACAATCCATTATCTTTTTTTAATTTTTTTTTTACAATCCATTATCAAATGGAAATGGTATGTATATATGTGACTGAGCCTGAGCAGGTCCCGAAGGCACAAGCAAGTTACATGAAGACGTTGCCCAAATGCCTGTGGTTTCTACTCCCATTACAAAGCCTTCTGCTGCCAGGCATGCACCTGTAGCCTCATGGGATGAGGAAGAGAAGACTAGGGCCTAGTTTACTAATGATTCTGCGCATTATGCAGGCGCCACTCAGAAGTGGATAGCTGTAGCATTACAACCCCTGTCTGGGACAACCCTGAAAGACACTGGTGAAGGGAAATCTTCACAGTGGGCAGAACTTTGCACAGTACATATTGCCATATACTTTGTTTGGAAGGAGAACTGGCCAGATGTATGATTGTTCACTGATTCATGGGCTGTAGCCAATGAATTGGCTGGATTGTCAGGGACTTGGAAAGAGCATGATTGGAAAATTGGTGAGAAAGGCATCTAAGGAAGAAGTTGTGGATAGATCTCTCCAAATAGGCAAAGGATGTGAAGATACTTGTGTCCCATGTAAATACTCATCAAAAGGTGACATCAGCTGAGGAGTTCAGTAATCAAGTAGATAGGATGACCCATTCTGTGGACAGTCAGCCTCTTTCCCTGGCCATCCCTGTCATTGCCCAATGGGCCCATGAACAAAGTGGCCATGGTGGCAGAGATGGGGGTTAGGCATGGACTCAACAACATGGACTTCCACTCACCGAGGCTGACCTGGCTACAGCTTCTGCTGAGTGCCAGATCTGCCAGCAGCAGAGACCAACACTGAGCCACAGATATGACATCATTCCTGGGGTGACCAGCCAGCGACCTGGTGGTAGGATGACTATACTGGACCACTTCCTCCATGGAAAGGACAGTGCTTTATCCTTACTGAAGTAGATACTTATTCTAGTTATGGATCTGCCTTTCCTGTACATAATGTTTCCGCCAAAACCACCATCCATGCACTTACAGAATGTCTTACATCTTACAGATGTATCATGAATCTTAGAAGGTCTTATTAATAAAATCAAACCTGAGGCCAGTTATTGGGCTGAAGCTGGAAGATCAGAGAGACAGAACAAGCCACAGCTAACCTCACCTGGCCAACTTCTCACCTGATCTTGTTTCCTCAGACTGGAAGCCTTTGCGTCCTCATATCTGAATGGCTCTCAGCTGAACTGCTGCTTGTAGCCTGAAAGCTTAACCAGCCAAATGCTTCTAGTTCCTGGTCTTCATGCCTTATATACCTTTCTGCTATTTGTCATCACTCCCTGAGATTAAAGGCTCACTTCTTGGGATTAAAGGTGTGTGTCACCATGCCTGGCTGTTTCCAATGTGTCCTTGAACTCACAGAGATCCAGAGGGATTTCACCTCTGGAATGCTAGGATTAAAGGTGTGAGTGCCACCGTTTTCTAGCCTTTGTATCTAGTGGCTGTTCTGTCTCTGACCCCAGATAAGTTTATTAGGGTGCACAATATTTTGGGGAACACAATACCACCACATTTCCTCTTTTTTGTCTAAAAATAAAAAAGCTTATAACTAATATAAGAAAAATTATACCCAATAAGTATATACAATATACACAGTCAAGATTACATTAACGAAGTCTAGTCCATTAACATTTGGCAAATTCAGAAAAAAAACTGCATTTTATATATATATGTATATATATATACATATATATACATATATATATGTTAACAATGTCCAGTCCAGTAATATTTGATAAACACAGACAAAAATTTTCATTACTTATCCTATTTAAAACAAGTAGTTCCTTTTTAAATGTAGATTCAATAATTGACCTTTTTATCTTATCATATCCATATTCTATCTTTTTTCTTTTCATAATAGATTCAGTAGTCTACCTTTTGTCATTTTTATATCTTCTCCTTTTTCTTTTTACAGTAGATTCAGTGATCTACCCATTTATCCTATTATTCTTTGTCTGTTTTCTCAGAATAGATTCAGTGAGCTACCTCATATCTATATTCTCTTTTCTCTTTTTTCTTTCTTTTTTAAACAAAAACTCTGAATCTAATCTCCTTGTTCAGCTTTTTTCTTGACCATTAACAATTAACAACTTGTAACCAACCATTGTATACAATGACAATATCCAAAACTCATTAAACAACCAAAAATTACCCACCCCACTTCTTGGGAATGTGGGCGTCTTTTTCTTAAAATTACTTCTTGCTTTCTAGGGGCGAAGCCATCTTTAGGGAATCTTGAAAAGAAAATTTTTGGGTTAATTGTCAAGTCCTGTATCATTTGTCTAGTCACTGCATAATGAGAAAATACAGGGTTTGTTTCAAGTCCTTGTTCGAGCAGCCTGTCAGGCTGGATCATCTCAGCTAGCCATCTCAAAATTGTCCTGAGCAGTTTGTAGTCCAAAGCAGATCTTTCCATGGTGTTAATCAGCTTAATGGCTTTACCATAGTCCATGTGGAATCATCTTTGTGGGGTCTCTTCATCGTTTTGAAGATTTCAAAGTCGCTCTTAGGCGTGATCATGGTTCCCTGAAGACTTTATTTTATTTTATTTTATTTTCTGTGCCTCCTCTGTGGTTTGGAGCAATCACAGTCTGATAAATGTCTATCTCTTGGAACCATGAACGTTCTTCCCTAGAAGAGAAAATCTTCACAGCAATTTCTCCCCACCATTTGTCTTGCCAAACTTTTCCAAACTGACCTTTGCTGATGCTTTCTTGTAACATGATGGTCCTGGCAATTCTTCTCTGAACAAGCAGCGGTAAATCCTTTGTCCCAGGTAGCAGCATCACCACAGTCACCAACATGATGAGAAGCAGCCAGCAATTCAGAGCAGCAGTCTCTGCCTCCATGGTCCCACCACTGTTTGTGGTTCAGTCTGGGCCAAAGCTTCTCCCAAGCCTCCTAGGCCGGCCTCAAACTCGGAATCCTCCTGCCTCTGCCTCCTTCAGTAAATCCTACCGGCATGTGCCACCACAACATGGTATTCTACACAGTGTTGCTTCTGACCAGGAACTCACTTCACAGCCAGAGAAGTACAACAGTGGACCATGATCATGGAACCCACTGGTCTTACCATGTTCCCCACCATTCTGAAGCAGCTGGCCTGGTAAAAGGATGAAATGGCCTTTTTTTTTTTTTTTTTTTTTTTTAAAGATTTATTTATTTATTATGTATACAGCATGTGTGCCTGCAGGCCAGAAGAGGGCACCAGATCTCGTTACAGATGGTTGTGAGCCACCATGTGGTTGCTGGGAATTGAACTCAGGACCTCTGGAAGAGCAATCAGTGCTCTTAACCTCTGAGCCATCTCTCCAGCCCCCGAAATGGCCTTTTGAAGACACAGTTACAGCATCAATTAGGTGGCAGCAGCCTGGAGGGCTGGGGCAGGATTCTCCAGAAGGCAGTATATACTCTGAATCATCATCCACTGTATGGTACAGTTTTTCCCATAGCCAGGATCTAGGGGTCCAGGAATCAAAGGCTGGAAAAGGAAATAGTTCTACTAACTAACACCTCTAATGACCCACTAGGAAAATTTTTGCTTCCTGTTCATGTGGCCTCGAAGTTTTGGTTCCAGAGAGGGGAGTGCTCCTGCCAGGAGTCACAACGAACATTCTCTTGAACTAGATGCTTGGACTGCCCCCTGGTCACTCTGGGTTTCTGATGCCTTTAACCCAATAGCCTAAGAACAGAATAACAGTGTTAGGAGGTATGACTGATCCAGATTACCATGGGGAAATTGGATTGCTTCTCCACAATGGAGGGAAGAAGGACTCTGTCTGGAGTGCAGGAGATCCTTTAGGGCGTCTCTGGTGCTATCATGTCCTGTGATTAAAGTCAGTGGTTAAAGTCAAAGTAGAACAGGCTAATCCAGGCAGGATGGCAAAGGGCACAGACCCTCAGGAGTGAAGGTATGGGTCACTCCAGGAAAAGAGTCAAGACCTGCTGAAGTGCTTGCTGAGGGTACAGAATGGGTAGTAGAGGAACGTGGTTATAAATACCAGTTAAGGTCATGTGGCCAGTTGCAGACCAAGGATTATAATTGACATGAGTGTTTCTGTCATATTTTATAAAGAGTGTGTTTGTGCTAGCCAGGTGGTGGTGATGCACACCTTTAATCCCAGCACTTGGGAGGCAGAGGCAGGTGGATCTCTGTGAGTTCAAGGCCTACCTGGTCTACAAAGTGAGTTCCAGGACAGCCAGGGCTACACAGAGAAATCCTGTTTTGAAAGAATAAAACAAACAAACAAAAAGAATATGTTTGTATAGATATTTGCATTTTCTTTCTTTGATTTCCTTATCATGTGATATACTATCAATCAAGAGAATATCAGTGGTTATCATATTTAAGTTTTGAGATACCAAAAGAATGTCCCTCAAGGGGCATTGCTATATATTCTAAAACTTACGATTTGTTTGTGTTTGTATGAGGGACGGTTATATCATATTAGGAGTAATTATGTTGTGGCTGAATATATACTACATTTCTGATTTTTACATGGGGTAATTATAGTTAGGTGTTATTATGACCTGTTTTTTTTCACTTGAAAATTAAGCAGGACATAAGGAGATATGATTGTGTGTCAAGTTGACGAGGGGTGGACTTGTGATGGCTGCTCTTGGTTGTCCACTTGACTACATCTAGAATGAACTAAAACCCAAGAGTCTGGGCACACCCGTGAGAGATTTTTTTCTTAATTAAAACATTTGAAGTGGGAAGACCACTTTTAATCTAGATCTTTTGAGGTGAGGAAGATCCACCTTTCATCTGGGCCACACCTTCTGCTGGCAGCCTATAGAAAGGACATGGAGGAAGGAAGCTTGCTCTCTTTGTCTGCTGCTCTGGCTCTCTCCGGCAAGTGCATTCCTCCACTGGCATTAGAGTCTACTTCTTTGGAATTCTGGCATATACTGAAGACCAGCTGAGACATCCAGTCTCGTGGACTGAACAACTACTGGATTCTTGGACCTTTTGTTGGTAGACAGCTGAAGCACAGCCTGTCAGTCATTCTGATATATGTCAGTTCTGTTTCTCTAGGGAACCCTGATGAATAAACCCTGTCCCCCCAAAACAAAACAAAAGCCAGGGGCTGCAAAGATGGTGCTTTTCCACTGAGCTTGGGTCCCAGTGCCCACAAAAGGGAGCTGACAACCACCTGGATTTCTAGTTCCAGGGAATCCAACTCTCTTCTGACCTCCAGCACCTACATACATGTGACAAGGAGGGGGAGGGGGCTTGCCAAGGTGGGAAAAGGAAAGAAGAAAAGAACCTGGGTTGTTCGTTGTTTGTTCTGTTTTCAGGTGGGGTCTCACTCCATAGCTCTGGCTGGCCTGGAGCTTGTAGAGATCTGCCTGCCTGGGCCTCCTGAGTTCTGAGGTCAAAGGAGAAACTGTCTCTTCCTGAGACCAGTCTAGGGTGTACAAACATGGCTGGCATTTGTGCCTGGTGGTAATGGCGACAGGGCAAGGGCACTCAAGCATGGTCAACAAGAGGATTGAGCCCCCCTTGTCATCTGCTTCCCTTGTAGGTTCCATCTCATGTACAAGCCCCCTCCCACCGTTGAGGTCCAGGCTCGTCTCCTGCAGAACCCCAAGGACTCAGAGGATTACATCAGGCTCCGAACGGACCTGTTCTTCAGGAACTCTGGGGACCTGGAGCAGTACTACGAGCGGGCCATCACCATCAACGGGGACCAGGACCCATACACAGTCTTCGAGTACATAGAGAGCGGGATCATTAATCCTCTGCCCAAGAAAATGACCTGATAACGTGCAGAGCCATGAGCAAGCCCTGGAGATACTAGAATCCCTCTCCCACAACCTTCAGCAGACCACCACCACCACCACCACCACCCCAGCCAATAAAGATGCTAGGCACAACCTCAGGTAGCCTTCTTCTGGAGTCTGAGAACACAGGGCAGAGGACGCCCACGGAGTGGGCACAGTGGAATACTGGATGCTAGGTCTCCCTCTAAAGTCAGGTGTGGATGAAGCCCATCTCAAGCAGCAGCAGCACCCCACTGTGGGTAACTGGGTGGGTGCACTGGTCATGTTCTATAGCAGAATGGAACCAATAGCATGGATATATATTACAAAAGGCATTTAGTGATTGGCTTACGTGACACCAGCTAGGCCAACAATGGGCATCTGCATGCTGGAGAGTCTGAGAACCTCACAGCTGCTTAGCCCACAGGGCTAGGTAATCTAGATGTTTCAGTCTGGTGCTGAAGGCAGGGAGGATTCCTGGAGAGCCACTGGTCTTTAGTCCACACTGGAAGGTTGATAAAACTCGGTTCTGATATCAGTAGAGCATAGTAGGAGTGGTAGCAACAGGTCAGATGCATCCATAAGCAAGAAATGAAGGCAGGCAGGCAAAGCAGGCCTGGTTTTCCCTCACACATGAGGTGTTTCCCACTCTAGGGGAGGCTGTCCCTCCTCAGCTAATCCCCCCAAAGAGACGTGGCTCTTTGCCAATCCCAGGTCCAGTCAAGTTGACAACCAAGTTTAACCACCACAGAGTTAAACTCACTCTTCACAGCCTCTCTGTCCCTCGCTAGCAGAGGTGGAGTGATAACCACAGGCGCCTCTCAGTAACCCAAAGGATCCAGTGGGGTGATCGACAGAGCACTCAGCCCAGTGAGGACACATGTGAGCTCTGCTTTAGAGCTTCAGCACTGAGCTAAATGCAATGGCACCCAGCAATTGGGAGATAGAGACCAGAGGATCAGGAGTTCAAGACCAGTCTCCTCTGGTTACATGGTTCAAAGGTCATTCTGTACTGCAGCAAACTCTTGTCTCAAAAAGAAAAACATGGCACCCAGTCGAACTCTCTGGAATGAGGGACATTGCTTCTATCTGCACTGTCTATGTTGGCAGCCTCTGGCCACAGGAGGCTCCTGAGGCACCTGTAATATGGTTGTGCCATGGGAGAGGTGTGTTTTAAGTTTTATTTAGCTTTTACACATTTGAATTTCAACAGCCTTTCGAGGCTGGCAGCTGCTCTAATGAACAGTGTGTGTGTGTGTCAGGGGGTAGTGGGAGGAGGGCTGGGGAGGTGTTGTGAGGCCAAGGCACCAGTCATCCCCTGTCCTCTGTATAGCCTGCAGGCCCCACAGGAGGGGCCTGGACGGAGAGACCTGGGTTTGATGGTGTGACTGGAGTTCCTTTCACATCTCCTTCCATCATCTCATCCTTCAGGATGGTCCCAGTCAGGCAAGTCCTTAGGTGTCCCACGTGCAGATGCAAGAAGGTAACTCCCTTACCTAATGTCACCTGTCTCTAAGACTGACCTTAAATCCAGGATTCCCGGGACTGGGCTGACCTCAGAGTCTAGCACTTAGGGCTCTGGGAAGCTCAGAGACCCTGGGACCGATGCCCAAAGGCCCTTCTGGCTTAGGACAGCTCAAAGCCCATTTAGCAGAGCATGCCCCTGGGCCTGTCCCAGCTAGGTGCACAACCTGCCTTCTGTGCCTCCCTCTCTGCTGAGTGCCTCGGCTCCATTTCCCTAGGCTGTCGGACCCTGAGCACCACCTCCCGAATCTCCACCAGGGTCTCCCCACCAAGGTCCCCTGCAGTGCCCACCCTCAAACTTATTTGACACCACACACTCATTTCAGCACATGTCCAGCTTGCCAGGGCTCCCTGCAGGGTGTTAGAAAAGAATATTCTCAGTGTCACACAAAGAAACACATTAATAAAGTAAAAGTGATGGTAGGACACTTCCTTTCCACAAAAAAGTGTGTGTCACAATCCAACCAACACGCTGGCCAAAATGCTGTCTTTTTTGTATGGGTATTTTGTCTACATAGTGAGCTCCAGACCAACCAGGCTTCATAGTAAGACTGTCCTAAGGTGACTATGGCTATAATGCTGGAGGAGCTGAGAGTTCTACATCTGGATCTGAAGACAGCATAAGGAGACTGTGAGCCACACTGGTGTAGCTTGAGCATATGAGACCTTAAAGCCTACCCCCACAGTGACACACTTCCAACAAGGCCATGCCTCCTAACAGTGCCACTCCCTATGGGCCAAGCATTCACACGAGTCTGTAGGGGCCATACCTATTCAAACCACCACAGACTCATATAGTTCAGACTGGTCTTGAACTCCCTGTGTAAACAAGGATGACTTTGAACTTCGGATCCTCCTCCCTGTTCCTCCCTCCTGAGTGCTGGGATTACAGGTGTGTATCACCACATCTGGTTTACTTAGCTTTGGAGATAGAACCCAGGGCTTTGTGCATGCTATGTGTCTTAGTTAGGGTTTCTATTGCACCATGACCACGGCAACTGTTATAAAGGAAAACACTTAATTGGGTCTGGCTTACACTTCAGAGGTTTAGTCCATTATGGACACAGCAAGAAGCATGGCAGCACACAGGCAGACATGGTGCTGGAGAAGGAGCTGAGAGTTCTACATCTGGATCCACAGACAGGAGAAGAGACCAGTGTCCCACACTGGGCATAGCTTGAGCATATGAGACCTCAAAGTCTTCCCCCACAATGACACACTTCCTCCAACAAGGCCACACCTCCTAATAGTGCCACTCCCTATAGGCCAAGCATTCAAACACATGCACTCTGCCAAATGAGACACATCTCCAGTCCAGCAAATGCTTGTTGAGCCATGTCCCCAGCACTAGGGAGATATAGAAGAAAAAGGACAAAGAGACACATCTCCAGTCCAGCAAATGCTTGTTGAGCCATGTCCCCAGCACTAGGGAGATAGTAGAAGAAAAAGGACAAAGTTGCTGTGCTCATGTGACCAGCATTTTTTATAGAGAGATAGTAAAAGTGAGAGAGAGAAAAAAAAAATCTCATCTCTGATGGCCCCCGAGAACCATCTCACCCATAGGTTCCATTAAATACTTGCATCCTCTCATCGGGCTTACTTCTTTTTACCTAGGGCTGTCAGTCAAAGTTCCTGAGACTTGGGAGGATTATGGATAGTGTAGCAGTGTTCCCAGGGGAGGAGGAAAGAGGCAATTTAGATGCAGCCACACTCCTGTGAGATCCCATGGAAGGCAAAGGTGGCTTAGATGTTGAGTTTTAAGGCACATTAAAGAGGTTTGGGGGCATAAAAAACAGCCATATAGTTGACTACAGAATTAACTTCAATTTTTAAAAAACATAATTATAGATATCTTTCATTATTGAAATATGTTCCTTGCTTCTAAAAAAAGTAAGTAAAAATACGGTGACAGAACCCACAGGAAGAAAAATGCCCATCCTCCCCCTGACCAAACCTTCAATGATCATCATCGTGGTGACCACAGGTAAATCCCTGGAATTTCAGTTGCAGGGGAGGGTGAGTGGATGGATGGATGAGTGGGTGGGCTAGTGAAAGATAAATAATTTGATAAATGGATGAGTGGGTGAAGGATGATGAATGGGTGGGTAGATGAATGGATGTATGGGTAGATGGGTAGGTGGGGGGGGGAATGAATGGATGTGTGGGTAGATAGAAGGATGAGTGGTGAGTGTGTGGGCAAGTGGATGGATGGATGGATGGATGGGCACAATTTTGCGATTGTATTGCTTATATGTTTTTAATATTTTGTGTGTATATGCATGTACATGTCTGTGTTTGTGCATATAGACCAGAGGTGAGTGTGTTCCTCAGTTGCTGTCCATCTTCAATACCAAGGCAGGGTCTCCTGCTGAACCTAGGGCTCACCAACTTGCACAAATCTAGCTTGCCAGTTTGCTCCCATGTTGAGATTACAGGCAGGGCATAACTACCTGGCATTGCTGACATTTACAGATGATGGGGATCTTGTCACGGGTGGCAAGCACTCTGTGCTAAACCATCTCCCAAGCCCTGTACCATCTGGCTACTTTCAAGGTCTTTTCCTCCATGCCATGAGAATCTTCAGTTTGCTTGAGTGACTAAAGTAACAGCTACATATCGTGGACTATGGGGGTCCAGCCCCTCTATAGTCCCCTCCCAGGGTCCAGGAAGAATCTACAACCAGCTGATAATTTAATCTTTGATGATAGGAAATGAATCTATGTACACAGAACTCCTTAGTCCACACACTTTATTATTCTGTGTCAGTTCTCTCTCTATAAGCTTCTATTCTGTTCTCATGCCTAGCTCCTTTCTTGCCTGATTTTTATCTGCATTTATCTGCTGTCCCCTCTAAGTTCTATCTTAATCCTCTCATCTTAGTTCTGCCCCATCTAGGTTCTCATCAATCTAGTTCTTTCCCACCTCATCTCCTCTCCCATCTCCTTCTTTCTCATCTTGTTCTTCCCCATCTAGCTCTTCTTCATCTTCCATCTTGTTCCTCTAGTACTCACTTTTAGCCCTTCAATTTAGTTCTTCCCATCTAGTCTGTTCCTCTCCAGTTCTTACCCATCCAGTTCTTCCGTTCTCTTTTTTCCTCTCTCTCGCCTCCTCTCAGTCTCCTTATTCTCTCAGTTCTCCCCAAGTCTCTCAGGAATCCAGTTATAAACCCAAGCCGTAGCAATCCTCTGGCAGAGCAAGGTCACAGGCTTGAATTCTTACAGGGTCATAAAGGCAGAGAAGAGTTTTCCTCAGGCAGTGACCACCAGGCTTTCTTTTACAGCCCAAAAGGGAAGTGGTAAAGGAGGAGGAGGTCAATTGAGAACTAATGATCGGTTAGTATATCAAAAAGGGAATTTATGTGCTCAATCTACATTCCTAGAAGTGGTTAGGTAAGAAATTAGGAGTCTATAATGTTAGTAAAACTGTATAAGAAAGGAGGGTCTCAGCTTGAATTACACAAGGAATAAAGCTATCCCCCTGACCTAGGAGACAGTGTTGTTTCCATAAGGGTGTTACCTTTGTTCAGGAGATGGTTTGGCCTTGGATGCTTGATAGGTATTTTAGATAAATACACTGCTAGGAGTTCTTGGAAGTACATAGCATACAAGAAAATCGTTGTAGGAACCAGCTTATATATATACAAAAGCTAAAATATCACCAAGACTTCTTAAGCCATGGTCTGACCTTCAGAAAAGTCCTTGACTTTTCCAAGTAGTAGCTTTTGTGATAGTAGCTGGGTTCCATTATATTTTCCTGTGGTTTGCAGTAGCTACACATCCTGCTTTTCCTCACAGCTAGAGAACATACTTCTAGCCAGTGAAAATATCCAGGAAAGCTGCTGCTTTTCTCCTTACAATGATAGAGTGCTGGGTATGATAATAGACACCTGTAATCCCAGCCTTGGGGAGGCTGAAGCTGCAGGATAATATATTCAAGGTCAGTCTGAGCTACAAAGTGAGACCCTGTCTCAGAAACAGTCAGGTAGAGGTTGGGGCCAGCCTTTAATTCCAGCACTCTGGAGGCAGAGGCAGGCAGAATCTCTGTGAGTTCAAGGCCAGCCTGGTCTACAGTGTGAGTTCCAGGATAGCCAGAGCTACACAGAGAAACTTTGTCTCGAAAAACAAAACAACAAAACCAGAACCAGTGGCTGGTGGGAATCACTGTCCACTCCTGGGAGGTGTGGACATCAGTTCCCTGCAGCACCTTAAGCCCTGTGCCCAGGCCTGGGTCTGAATCTTTCTAGGTTTCTATGCTGATCATCCAAGGCAGAGGGAGAGCTTAGCCTTCCTGGAGACCTAGGCTGTGTGGAGGAGTGGTCAGCATCTGAACGAGAAGCAGCTTTGGGTGGAAAAAAGAAGCACAGGCTGTGGGAAGGCATCTGCTTCCTTCCTTCCAGTGAGGGCAAGAGCCAGAGAGGGAAGGAACCGAGGCCTCCTGCCTCCAGCCATGTGCCTTCTGCCATACCCATTTTACAGATGGGGAGACTGACAATTTCATAACCAGAGTCTTGAACCTGCTGCAGCTGCTGCTGCATTTCCTTCACTGATGTCAGAACTAGATTCTTCAGGCTTCTCACAGAGACTAAAGACCATCAGCTCACCGGGAATCCTCCAGGCCTTCAATGTCAGATTGGGACTGCTGGGGCAGTCAGCCTTGTGGAATGAGCAACTACTGGCTCCCTTTCCAGTGTGTCAGCCATTGTGGGACTACTCTGGCCATTTCATGTAAATCAATCTAATAAATATTATAAACAAATATAATAAGCATATATTATACATATTAATATAAGTGTATAAATGTAATTCATATATATAATATATGTGATACATTGTGTATATGCATGATATATTGTATGTATGTATATGTGCATATATGTGTAAATGTACTTACATATTACTATGTATAATATACATATTACATGTTATATATGTAATATAATCATATAATATAATATAGTGTTATATTAATTATATATTTTATACATAATATATAAATATAATACATAAGTATATAACATTTATTAGATATAGTATAAATATAATTTAATGTGTATTAAATATATATTAAGAGAGGATTATTATATTGTATATTTACTATTATATTTATACGTATATTTATTATAGATATATCCATTCTATTGGTTCTGTCTTGAAAGCCCTAGTAGTTGTGCTGAGATAGCTCAGCTGGTAAAGTGCTTTCCTTGCAAATCCAAGGGTCTGAGTTTTCCCTCCAGAACCCATCTTAGAAAAAGCGAGGTGCAGTGGCCTATGCCTGTAATCCCAGCACTGGGGCGGATCCCTGGGGCTCAGTAGCCCAGCCAGCCAAGCCTGCTTGGCCAGCTCCAGACTGGGAGATAAGCATAATGTGCTTTTAATGCCATCACTGGACATCTCTTCTGAGGTTCCCCTCCCCTGCCCCCCAGGTCAAAAACTCAGTTCCTTTTTAGTCTCGGGGAGTAGAGTGTAGCTTGTCGGTACTTGCTCAGCAAGCATAAGGCCTTGGGTTCAGTCTCAAGCACTGCCAACAAGAAAACAAAACGTGCTTTCAGTCCCAGCTCCAGGAGGGGGGTGGGGGAACAGGCTGGACAGTAACTAAAGAGCTACAAGCCTTGGAAGTTGAGAAAGGAGGAAGGAGAGCACAGGACAGGGCTAGTCCGAGGGTCAGATCCTAAGGCAGCCAAAGTGACACAGACACCAGTGCCGCCTCATTGCCACGCTGAGGGAGGGGCCCAAATGCTCCTCTGCCAGAGAGAGGCAGACAACCAGCAGCCATCTCCTCCAGAGAGAACAGAGAACCTCAGCAAAAGCCAGGGCTGGGCATGGGGGTCAGGGAGAGGCCAGTGGTGGCTGTGTTCCAGCCCAGGACTGTGGTGATATATTGTGTACCCTAATAAACTTGTCTGAGGATCGGAGGACAGAGCCTCCACTAGATTAGACATAGAGGTCAGGCAGTGATGGCACACACCCTTAATCCTATCATGCAGGAGGCAGAGGCACTCTCCATCCTTAAAGGGGAGCCATGTCTGCTAGAACCTGGGATTGGGTGTTTCCAACAGCACCCAGCTGGATCTCAGCACCCTCACTCCTCAGGTCTGATGGGTCTGGAAAGCCTTGGCTGTGACTGCAGCTCCCAGGACGCACACAGGTTTTTGGGGGACCTGCTGCTGCCTGGTGAGGAAATCCCAATCCTCTTCTGAGGCTACTGATGGTGTCAGTGGCTTCTGGTTAAGCCTTTACATACTCTGCCTTGGCATGTCCCTGGATGCAGGTGGTTAGGATGTGGACAGTTACTTTGGAAGGGAATCCAAGTAAGGAAGCCAGCCTGGAAAGGAGAGCACTGTTCACCCATGGGAAGGCTCTCTTCCTCCCCTTTGAAGGTTAACGGAGCCGTGCTTTGAGAGGACGCCAGCGCAGTGGCCACCCTGCTATATGCCTAAGGAAATCAGCCCAAACTCCTCTCCTGAGAGGTTGGGACAGCTGTGCCAAGGCTGATACTCTCAGCAGCTGCACAGACCAGCAGGCCAGGCACACAAGCAGAGGTTCCACAGAACACAGACAGGGGCTGAGCTTATTACCACTGGACAGTTTTTAAAAAGGAGGCCAGGTAAGCAGAGGGATGGCGACCAAAGACTGCATGCTGGCTGTCAGGAGCCTCCCAGACCTGTGCAAGTCCTCCAGGTCAGTCTGTGGCTAATGATGGGTGGAGCCACAACCCAGCACAGGGGACATCCACTACTTGGTGCTTCACCAAGAGCATGTTCCCAGTGTCACTTTCCTGGACAAGTACTATTTAACTGGCATTGTTAACAGTCAGGGGGTCTAGGCTAACATGACGATCAGTGGATAAAAGCCCTTAGCACACTACACACGAGCCTGACAACCTGAGGCGGGGGAACCAGCTCCACAAAGTTGTCCTTTGACCTCTACACTTGTGGTACATCCCCTTCCCAATCACATGGAGACAGTAAATTTATTAAAGAACCACCTGGGATCTGGGGCATGGGATGTTGCTCAGTGATTGCTGGCCAGGCATGTGTGAGGCCGAGTGGCTCAATCCTCAGCACCACACCTTTTTTAAAAAAAGCGTCCATGCTTTAACCTATTGGTAAATTAATTTCCCTTACATTCCCGAAGTTTTTCCTGGAATAAGCTACTGTGGTGGCTAATCATGGTTGTCAACTTGACACATCTGGGAAGAAGGAATCTCAATTGAAAAGTTGCCTCTGCTGGGTAATGGTGCTCACCTTTAATCCTGGCACTCAGGAGGCAGACACAGGTGGATCTCTGAGTACGAGGCCAGCCTGGTCTACAGAGAGAGTTCCAGGACAGCCAAGGCTTCACAGAGAAAGCCTTGTCTTGGGCGGGGGGGGGGGGGGGGGGGGGGGGGGGGGGGGGGGGGGGGCAAGAGGAAAGTTTCCTCAATTGGATTGGTTTATAGATAACGTCTGTTGAGCATGTTCTTGATTGCTAATTGCTGAGGAGGGCCCAGCCCAGCGTGGGCGATATCATCCCTAGTCAGGTGAGCCTGGGCTGTAAGAAAGGTAGCTGACCAAACCAGTAAGTGGGTTTCTGCCTTAAGCTCTTGCTTCCTTTGATGATGGACTATAGCCTGTACCTGCAAGCTGGAGCAAGCCTTTCCTCTCCAGGTTGCTTTGGTCATGGTGTTTACTGCAGCAACAGAAAGCGGCCTATAGCTGCCTTTAAAGTGCCGAATGGCCACCAAGGAAGTCGCTGGTGGCCAGTCTGACTTCTTCCTTTCTCCTCTGTGGGAGTCTGGTACCCTGACAGACGAGACTGGATTTAGAGGTGTCTCACTCAGCTTTGCTGTTAACTATGTGAATCCCAGAAAATAGACACACAATATACCAACACTTGTCATTTAAGTACGAGCGGTTGAGGGAATAGTAGTGACTCTGCGTACGGAAGAGCTCAGTGAGGCTGTTCCTGACTACAGAGCTGCTGAGACCTACAGCACCCCACAACACCTTACATACTAGGGTCACTAGGGCAGCTGTAGGGCCCCAACGCAGAACACTCTAAGAGAAGAGGGCTTTCATTTGTGCGGTAAGCAGCCAGCCACCTAACTGGCAGGAAACACGAGGACCTGCCACAGGGCAATCAGTAGGACTGGATACCCACATGGGCACCCCCAAATTTCCAGTTTTTCCTTATCTCCCCAGTGTCAGCCTTTTCCTGAGCACTGTGGCCTTAACCTTAGATATGAGATCAGAAACAGGGCTAAGATGTGGCATGGTCTTGTAAACCTCAGTGAGAGCCAGGGAAGAACCTTGCCTTCTCCTGTCTTAGTGGCTCTGTGGAGCTGACCATTCATCAGCTCTCCAGCTCCAGGAACTGAGACAGGCCCGGCCCTGGAGGAGCATATAGGCTAATAGCCCTGCCTATCACGCTGGGGGAACAAGTGGCCGGCTTGTTTGGGTTGGCAGTTATTCTGGGCAACATGTTGTTATTCTTAGTTTTTAGCTAAAATCTTGAAAGTTAAAATTGATTAGATAGTAAGAATTAAAAAAAAAAATCCGCCGGGCGGTGGTGGCGCACGCCTTTAATCCCAGCACTCGGGAGGCAGAGCCAGGCGGATCTCTGTGAGTTCGAGGCCAGCCTGGGCTACCAAGTGAGTCCCAGGAAAGGCGCAAAGCTACACAGAGAAACCCTGTCTCGAAAAACCAAAAAAAAAAAAAAAAAAAAAAAAAATCCCCTTTGCATACCGTAAAATTTTCTCTTTATTTAAAAACAGTCAGGTGTAAACATACAATTCAAAGCCAAGCACAAACTTTAGTACAAGCATTGGGTAAACAGCGGGTACAACCACTAAGCACAGCAGACATGTGTGTAAACAAGTGTGATGCTCACATCCATGTCCTATCAAATACAAATGTGAAACAAAGCCTTTGAAAAACACAATTCATGGGACACTTGTGTTTGATTTTCCATTAGTACCATACAGAGACAGTGAGAACATGAGCATCCACCCTACCACATTAGCCAAATGTAGACCTGGGCTCAAAATGCCCCAACACTATCACCACCACCACCTCTTCTGCCACACAATCTGACCAGTTTTGATTTTCTGAGACAGGCTCTCTCCACACAGCTCAGGCTGGCCTTCTACTTCATCCTCCTGCCTCAGCTTCCTGAGTGCTCAGAACATAGGTGTGTGCCACCATGCCTCACTCAGTCTATTTTAGAGTATTTTCCTTTATGAAAACAACAGAACTTCATGACAGGGATGTAAACAGTAAACACTCCTCTCCTCCTCCAAGTGCTGAGGATGGAACTTGAGGCCTTGAGAATGCTAGGCAAGTGTTCTACCCACCCAGCTACAACCTCAGCCTTGAGATAAGGAACTTTTAAAAACAAACAGAAGGTTCAGAACTCTGAGATGTGATCTGCTCAACCCAGGACCACATTTTTCGCTTGAGAGCCTACAAAGTAATTCTGATGCATACCACCTCTTTTTCTACTCAGTTCAATCACAATGAAGGAATACTTAAGCCCTGTTGGTGAACCACACCATCTGGTTCTAAATAAATTCATGACTAGAACCCTGACTGCATCAGGGTCTCTCCCCTCGATATAAACATGGCCTTGAGACTAAAAAAAATCCACGAACACTGCCTTCTGCCTGCTACTTGGGCAGAGCTACTGTATCTGTAGGTAGCTAGAAGCAAGTCTACCTTGAGTGGAGCTTAGTTCCATTTAAGGACATTTCACCTACTATGCACTTAGGCTGAACAGCAGACACAAAGCAGATGTAACTTCAAGAACTCAGCTTCCAGAAAGAGCAGTTGAGGGTCTAATAACATGAGAGTCTGCGGCACAGTCTGAAGTGTGGGAGGGCACCGATGCTTCACAGGAACTAAAGCCAGACAACCCACTTTGTTAGACCCTGCAGGGACGTCCTTCCAGCCAATACCTCAAGGGGGAAGGTATGGTTGCTGAGGCTACACTCTACCAGGACATGCCATGAGGGGCTGCCAAAGCCTGGCTGTGACACCTCAGGTCCAGCCTGTGCTATGGTGAAAGAGCTTCGAGTATCTGACTGACTGTTGGGGGATCCATGCTGACTTGGAATGCACCCCATTCAGCTCAGCATGAACAGCAATACTGGTGGCAAGGAGCCCGAAGTCAGCCCTTTGACCACGAGATGCCCATTTTTTCTTCTCGGAAGACCTACAACATGGCTTAGCCTTTAGACATTTTATCACTATACATTTTTCTGGCCCTGAAATGTATCCTAATGCTGAGAGCTGCCTCTTGTGGAAAGGAAAGCAAGAAGGGATGGCCAGAACCCAAGTCTGGTCTATTTCAGAACTGCAGCCACTCAGCAAGCCCGGGCCCTTTAGCCGCTGCCGGGGTGGAGCGCCCCAGACCAAGGCCGTGCTCGACCATCTGCACCTTATCTGACACTAATATAGCTACGCAGATCTTTGAATTCAAGGCCAGCCTGGTCTACAAAGGGAGTTCCAGGCTAGCCAAAGCTATAACATAGACCCTGTCTCAAAAAACAGAACAAAACAAGCAGAAAATAAAACTTTCCCAATCCAATTAACTTGCTGTGCTTATTGCTAGGTCTAGCCTACTACTTCTACATAGATGTTCTTAAAAACTTGCTAGAGCCTAGAGGGACGAGCAGGAAACTGTTACATCTGACCACAGACTTCACTGGTGCTCATGACAGCTTCTGGTAGATCTAGTAGTAGGTAAAGACAGTTTCAAGTCTGGGGATGAACATATCAGAACTTCAGCATGAACACTAACCAGAACAAACTGCCCATTTCCTACCTCAAATAACAGAAACAAATAACCCCAGGCAGAGAAGACCTGATACGCAGCAGTGTTCCAGTTTGTGGGGTCTCTGTAGTCTGTTCCAGCCTTCTAACTGCAGGGCAACAATCTGATGGCTACTCTTCCTCCCAGGCTAAAACAGCTCCCACAGCTGCAACTGAAAGCTACCTTAATTCTTCCACCAAGCAGCACAGGCAAGTTCAAGCTAGAAGAGGTAACTGCAAGACTCTGGTGTCACTCCCATTTCTCCAAGGTCCCTCCATCCAAGGTTCCTCCAGGGTCCTATATACCGACCCTTAGAGAAGAATTCAGAAGTGTCCTATGCAGGAGGCTGCCATCAATCCCAAACTCTCTTGTTCACCCAGCTCTGAAGACTATCATCGGTGTGTGGTGGGACTTGGGGGGGGGGGGTGTTTGGCATCGGAGGGGAGGAAGGCATCCCTACTAGCTGTGGAGACAATTGGCTGTGGCTAGATTTCAGAGCCTCTTCCTGAGAACCTGAGTTCCAGTAGCCATGCTTCTTCCTGTACACAAGCACACACCCTAGAAATTCTTTCATTACTCCTATTTGTTAAAATTTCTCAAAACAGAGCAACTGCCTTAATCAGTCAGTTACGTTTTAAATGGTTCCTAGCACAAATTCCCTGTGAGAACACCTAGTGAGCTTGATTCCAAAGAGCAAGAAAAAGGAAGCTTGGCCTGTGTGGTTGTCAGCCTGGGGACAACTCTTAATACCATCTCCACTCCTGCCATGTTTCCGGCACAGAGTGACAATTGCAGGCTCCGTTGCAGCCATGTATAGTCTGAACTGGGTCAGTCGGGGCTCTTTCTTTGCTGCCCCCCAGGTCTGGATAGACGCTGTTGTTACAACCTCAAGTAGGACATTAAATACCCAGCAAACAATTCATTAAACACATGGCACAGGGCAACAATCTTACTAGACATTTTAGAGCAGCTTCTGGCAGTGCTTCTTAGGGTCTGTCCCCAGTGTGGAGCTATTTTTCGAGGCAGGAAGTGTGGTAGGATGGCATGTGGTCTATCTCTCACTATGGTACCCAAGTCAAGACATTATTTCTGAAGTGAGGACAGAATGTCTTTCGCTACGGGTATAAAATCAAAGTGGGAAAGCATGTTAAAATAAAAGCGTAAAGGATCACGAAGGAGCAGAGCATTTCATGTTCTGTACTTTCCAAAAACATGTACAATTTCAGAAACCGTGCACTACAGTCCAGTTCATTAGCACCAATCCCAGGAAACTTAATTTAAAAACCCAAGACTGTGATTCCAGAATGCTTTCAGGTCTGGTCAACCAATAATGTGTGCCTCCTCTTTAAGCCCACAGAAAATACCTGTATTCCAAATATTAAGGACCTTTGGCCAGAGAAGAAAGTCCCAGGTCTGTCCACTTGAGCTGCACATGCTTGCAGCACAGAGCTCAAGAACCTCCAACGCCACGCTGCCATCTCTCCCCAGAAATCCCTAGATCAACCTTCCCCTAGATACTCAGTGAGATGTCTGGATAAGTCAGTGTTAAAAATACTGAAGCTTCATTTTAATACTAAAAGAAGAAAATACTTTCCCTCTATGTACCAATATCTAGGTCACACAGTTGGGTATGAAGTAGGACTCTGATGAGGGAAGGGGTACTCAATCTCTTTTGACATACTAAGGAGCTGGGTCACGAAATCTGATGACACAGGAGATAAAAATAAATGACAATTATCAACTTCTAATAGTCACCTGATTATTTGATACATTAAGATTGATTTTATTCTTGGCTTCAAAAATATAGTTTTAAGAAAATGTCTTCCATGTTCATGGAAAGAAGTCAATGGGCAGATGAGTCTGCTGAGCAAACACTAGCCACACACAGCTTTAGACACTTTACGATGTATTGGCACAGGAAATGTCAAGTACCAACCTACTCGAGTCCTCTGGAGCCACAGGCAGTTCCAGACCAAAGCAAGGCTGAAACCTAACTCACAGTGAGGTCCTCAGATTCTCCACAAGAGCCCATTACAGCTCAAGGAGCAGGTTTCCACTCAAACTGCTTTAGGCAAGACACTTGAAAAGTAAGTGGTCCTCACTGGTGAGCTGGGGGTGGCTAATGTTCACCTCAAAATGACTCAAACTCTCTGTAGTTAGATATCCTTCAGTTCCTGAAGATAGTGTGTGTGCTGTCAAAATGAGCTCAGGGATGACCTCCCTCCTCCAGTCAGAGGAATGTCTCTCCACTGTCCTGCGCCAGGATTCCTCCAGCACACCTGCTCCTCAGGTTCCAGGGTACTTTCTACAGCCGAGTTCATGTTCTTCCAGCCTCCTCACCAACACTCAGAAGACAGGAGAATCACAGAAAGGGCAAGGGCTCTGCAGCAACTTCTTAATCCAGTCGGGATCTGCAAAGGAAAGCCAGCGGGACCAAGGGTCAGCCTCAGAGAAGGTGACAGGAGGCTCAGGGGCCCAAGCAGACCAGGCATTTAGGCCTCAGTTTCCAGCATTCTAATGAGGCTGAGATGAAATGAATTTGAGGTTCCTAAAGCTGGGTCTGTGATGAGATAAAGGCCAGGCAATGAGGGGGTGCCTCAGAAAGCCACCTATGTTGGGTATGGTGGTGCACACCTTTAATTCCAGCACTCAGGAAGCAGAAAGGATGAGCTCTGTGAGTTTGAAGCCAGCATGGTCTACACAGCTAATTTCAGGACAGCCAGGAGTTCACACAGAGTGACCCTGTCTCAAAAAACCCAACCAACCAAACCTCTAAACAAACAAAAAAGCCACAAGTGTTCAAGTTAACCAAGGACTGTATTCACTTTTTTTTTTTTTGAGACAGGGTATCACTATATAGTCTAGGTTAGCCTTGAACATTCACACCATCCTCCTGCCCTAGCCTCCTTGGTGCAGGGATTACAGCTATGTGTTATTATGCCCAGTTTATAAACTGTGAATAGTATTCTTTCATAAAGTAACAGTAATAGCAACTTTTCAGAAATTCTACCACAGCAGAAAAGTAGACATGTAGTGACAACAGACCACCCTCCCACTGCTGGTCCGTGAAATCTCTGCCCTATTCCAGTTCTGTTCTGATCCATTCTCAGAGCCAAGGGTAGGGGGGGGGGGTCTTGGCTTTAAACTCCCACCGTGCCTAAACATCAAGTCTCAACTGTAGTAACTGCTTAAGAACTCTCCAAATGTTTTAACCTAGGAGCAAGGTGCAGACTCAGATGGAGAACTAAGGTTAACTAAAGCAGACACAACCCAAGTTGCCAACATGCAACCTTGAGAGAATTTGCAAAAGTAAGTATGGACGGAGTTTGAGGTGGAATACTCTTGTTTTGTGTTCACCAAAGCATGTTTGATTCTCCAAGCGTGTCTCACTGGCCTGTTTGGCTGGAGTGCAGTTACTGAAGCTCACACCAATAATTGGTATTCTTGTGACTATTAGACAGCTCATCTTTTGCTTGCACCTAAGATCTTTCTTTCTTTTTTTTCTTTCTAGGTTTTTTGAGACCAGGTTTCTCTGTGTAGCCCAGCTGTCCTAGAACTCACTCTGTAGGACAGTCTGACCTTGAACTCACAGAGATCTACCTGCCTCTGCCTCCTGAGTGCTAGAATTAAAGGCGTGTGCCACCATCACCCAGCTCTAAGATCTTATTTTCTAGCTAACACTCTCAGAAACAGAAATGTGCAAAAGAGCACAGAGACCAACCAGGAAGTAGCTAGCCCTCAATGGCTTCTAGAAGAGCAATACCTGCACCAGTGCATCAACAACAGTTTCTGTATTCGGCACCATCTGCAGAGCTGTCACTCAAATATAGCCCTGCACACTCCCTTGAGTCAGGCCTTCACAACGGACTGAAGGCCTTGCTGCAGAAGTAGATCAACAACAGCCCCCATTCCACCATCAGCTGACATACAACACACAGGTATTGTGTGTTCCTGGGGTCATTTGTTAACTGGTTCTGGCTTCACAGTAACTGCAGAGAGCAGAATGAGTCTGACCTGAAGCAAGAGCAGGACATTTATGGGGTGTGGCACTTGACTCCACCCCACCCTAAGGCTAAGCCAGCACCCACCTTCTGGAGCAGGGTGCCGGGCAATGCTGTCATGGAGCAAACACCTTCGGTATATCAAGCTCTGGCAGGACTGGTAGGTTAGAAAGCACCTGAAAGAGGACAGAGTCCAGTCAGAGGAGGCTCCTTGGGCTCATCAGCACCGGAAAGCAGCTGGTGCTGAGGGAATTCCCATAGTTATCAGGGCAATGCTTCCCTCTGTGTGGCCACCATGCTCTGAAAGCCTCTATGCACACAAAGCCTCTATGCAGAAGAAATACTGGGAAAGAGTTCAGTCTGGTCCTCTCTAACTGCATTCTTGATAATATGCAAAGCCACTCATAGTTTTTAAGATAAGGTATATGGACCATCTTTAAGAGTCCTTAGGTCAGTAGTTCTCAACCTGTGGGTTGTGACCCCCAGGGGTGTTGAACAGCCCTTTCATAGGGGTCGCCTAAGGTCAATGGAAAACAGAGATATTTAGATCATGATTCACAACAGTAGAAAATTAAAGTTATGAAGTTGCAATGAAAATAATTTTGTGGTTGGGGGTCACTACAACATGAGGAACTGTATTAAAGGATCGCAGCATTAGGAAGGTTGAGAACCACTGCCTCAGGTACTGGGGCTGGAAAGATGGCTCGAAAGTTAAGAGTACTTGCTATGTAAGCACGAGGACCTGAGTTCAGATTCCAGCACCAATGTAACAAGCCAGTTGTGTTTCCACTTGCATCCGTAGCCAGGAGAGACAGGAGAATCAATGGGGCTTGCTGGCTGCCAGCCTGGCAGAAAAATGTGAGATCCAGTTCCAAAAGAAACTTTGTATCAAAGGAATAAAGTGGAGTGTGATAGAGGACACTGGATGCTCTCCTCTGGATTCCACACACAAAAGTGAGCACATACATCACACACACACACCACACACAACATGCATGTACCTCTTTAAGTATTGAAGATGAAACTAATGGTGTAAAAAGAAAGGAAACTAACAAACTAATAAATGCCCAGAGTGTTCAATTCAATTCTGTCCAATGAGCATTCACTGAGCACCTACCAGAGCAGGAAGGTACAAGATAAAAAAGTGTACTGGGATCTGGAGGAAAAATTCAAAGAGGGAGCAGTTTTCAGGTAAGCAACTAAAGAGTAGAAAACAGGAGGTCAGGGGAAGGGACTCCAGAGTTGACCCTGGGACTTAGGTCCACAGGAAAAAAGAGTGCACCAGAGGGAAAGTATACCAATGCATTTTGGAGCTAACCTTACTCAGAAAAATGGAAAAACAACTTCTGTTAAACAACCCACAAACATGGGAGGCATGAGCAGGCAGTGATTACCCTGTGGACTCTGAGCCCATTGACTTCGGTCAAGTTCTTACTATCCTGGTGCCTCAATGCCAGCCTATCTACAAGATGGAGATACTCATGGGGCTGCCCTGTGTGTGGCCACTGTGAGGATATGGTCACTTAACAGATGTGCATCTGTCCCAATTTGTCTGACATGCTGATAGTGCTCAACAGACGTTAGTTTGATTATAAGCCTAAAATGTACCCAATATTAGATTTTAACTATTCTTTCCCTTCAAGGAAAAAAGTCCGAACTGTCAAACTAGGAAACAAATGTGTCAATAAGAGAAGGCATCATAGAGCACCCACATGACTAAAAGCTCCAGCTCCACTTCCATTAAGAACGGAATCCTGGCTGGGTGGTGATGGCACAAGCCTTTGAGCCCAGCACTTGGGAGGCAGAAGCACACGGATCTCTGAGGTTAAGGCCAGCCTAGTCTACAGAGCGAGTTCTAGGACAGCTGGGTTTACACAGAGAGACTGTCTTGTGCCAAATAAATAAGTAAGTTAAAAAAAAAAGGAATCCTGGTTGTGCACAGTGGCACATGCCTGGGAGGTTGAGGCAGGAGGATCATTAAGTTTGAGACCAGCCTCATAACATAGTGAGATCTGTCAACAAAACACACACAACAAAACAAGAAAAAAAAATGAATGAATGGATAAATGGTATGTGTATCATAGTCCTGTTGTAGTTAAATAAATCTAACATTTCTGCTGAGCATTAGCAAACACTGCTTTAGTGTTTGTGCTCGGAGAACTGCCTAGTCCAAAGAAAGGGTAACAAGGCAAAGATATAAAAGAGCCTCATGTGGTGATGCAGGTCTTTGATCCTAGCACTCAGGAGGCAGAGCTCAAGGAGTTCAAGGCCAGCTTGGGTAACAGTGAGACCCCATCTTTATTTAAAAAAAAAAAAAAAGAAAAGAAAAGAAAACGAATGAATGAATGAAATGTAGTTATAAGGAGAAAAAGAGCAAAGGAGAGGAATACACAGCACTAAATGGAAGTTTGTGTGTGTGTGTGAGAGAGAGAGAGAGAGAGACAGACAGACAGACAGACAGAGAAGCTATAGCCGAGAGGAATTATGCCATCTACTGTGTCCCTGCAGATGTCCTCAAGAAGCAGGGGTGCCATATGGACCTAAGCAAAGTGGGCAGTTCTCCTAGAACTCTACCAGGGTCCCATATCCCCTGTTTATTGCTTTTGCTGTCTGACAACTTCATACATGTACATGATGTATTCTGATTACTCTCTCCGATGCTCTCTCATCTCCTCCTCCATGCCTGTTCCATGCCCCTCTCCTTTTATTATGAAACTTAACTAAAAAAGTACACAAGAACATCTCTAAGGCTCTAACCCTGACTGCAAGGCAAACAGCAACCCAAGCAAGCACAGACAGTTCTATCCATCAAGCAGATCAGCCCTGGACAGTGGTTCTGGGCTATACAAAACTGAGACAGGAACAGCCTTGGGGGCTTACCGGAGCCAGATGTGCCCATTGGAACAAACAGCCTGCTTGCGATCCGTGAATGGCAAGATCTCCTTACACAGACTGCAGTGCTCGGGGAAGGTCTGCTTATTCATCTTCTTGGAGATATGTCCAATCAGGACCTGGGAAGACACCACGGGTGGCAGAGTGAGGGGTGGGTATGGGTTTCTGGGAGCAAAGGGTACTCACAGCCAATACAGGATTGCGTCAGGGACGAGAGGTGTACCTCTACAGGCTAAGCTGCTGTCCCAAGAGTTCAAAACCTGCACCTCCGACCAGTGTCAACAGCAAAGTAAAATAAATAGATATAGTGACCCCAACCTCTAGGGTGAACTCTAACCTCAAGGAACCACTGAAAATCAAGCTCTCTTGCTTTGTTTTAGTTCTTTAGAAGCAGTTATAGTTTTTACTTACGGTGCTGTAAGAAGGAAAATTGTAATTTCCCTAGACAAAAGATGTGGACTACTGTGAATTTTGCAGAAATATATAACTACATTGTCTTTAAAAAGACAACTTTTTTTTTGTTTTTTTTTGTTTTTGTTTTTCGAGACAGGGTTTCTCTGTGTAGCTTTGCGCCTTTCCTGGAACTCACTTGGTAGCCCAGGCTGGCCTCGAACTCACAGAGATCCGCCTGGCTCTGCCTCCCGAGTGCTGGGATTAAAGGCGTGCGCCACCACCGCCCGGCTAAAAAGACAACTTTTTAAAAGAAGATTTTGTTTTTGTGTGTGCCACTTGTGTACAGGTGCCCACAGAGGATCCCTTGAAGCTGGAGCTACAATGGCTGTGAATCGCCATGTGGGCACTGGAAACAACCCGGGTCCTGGGTCCTCTAGAAGAGCATTGGGTGTTTTTCTAGCCCACAAATGTTTAGTCTTTTATCAGATTTATAAAATAAAAAGATAATCAGAATTAAAAAAAAAAAAAAAAAACCCTTCTGATAGCCCAGAGAGGACTGATCTAGCGGCTCCTGCACCAGAGATAACCCAAGTGACCCAGCATGGGTCCCTTTCCTCGGCCCTATTGAGAATACCTTTCTTTGTATTGGTGGTGGTGGCCTTGGGATTGAATGTGGGGCCTTGCATATTCCAGCACTACCACTGAGCTCCATACCCATCTCTTTCAATTCTTAATTCTATGACAGGGTCGCAGTAAGCTGTCCAGACAGTCTTGAACTTGCTATACATACTCCTACCTCAGCCTCCAGAGTAGCTGCATTAGGCCTGTGCTTCCAGACATTGTTTAAAATTACATTCTTTAAAGACAAAGGTCTGAAAAACATACATCTATTTCATTATTTTGTTGGAAAACACACACACACACACACTGCCTTAGAGGCATGGGATATAACAACCCTTAAGCCTCTTCTAATAACTTGTGTCCTTCCCAGGGCTGAATGTATTTATGCTTTACCTCCTCTGGTAGTCTACAAGATTTTGTACTTTGGGTTAATTAAGTCACCCAAATCTCATAAGGTATTTTAATTGCTAATTTGAGCTAGCCATTTCAACTCTTTTGAATTTACAAATTTTTGTTGGATTTTGTGTGTGTGTGGTTTATTTGTTTGGTTTGGTTGATTTTTTTTTTTTTCCTGAGACAGGGTCTCACTATGTAGGTCTGGCTGTCCTAGAAGTCACTCTGTAGACCAGCTGGCCCCAAACTCACAAAGATCCTCTGCCTCTGCCTGAGTACTGAGATGGGGGCATGTGCCACCACACCAGGCTTAATTTACAAATTCAAATTACTTTTGGCCTTGTTTTTTGGTCTTCAAAATTCTAATTTATAATCCTTCACATTAGGACAGAGACCCTCACTCCTCTTTCCCAGATAAGCTTAACATCCCAACAGTGGCGCAGTAGTAAAGATGGCCCAGTGTCCTACAGCAGAGCAGAGCTGGGCCTACGTTCTTCATGAGGAAGAGCTGCTTCTGTGTGCTCTTTGTGGCCCCAGTCATGGAAGCTAACTGTTTAGTTTGACTTGTGCGTTCTCCATGATAATCCTTCTCAAGGAATAAGTAAATTCTGGTTCTTAGGAAATAAAAATGATTCTTAATCTTTTTAATATATAAAGCACAGATACACTTATGAGACAAAAACAAATACACAATAGGTCTGTGGTATTAACTATTAACAAGTCATGGGCAGGAGCTAGGAGAGGAGAAAGTGGGCAGTTGGGAATGAAAAACATAACACATGCCCAGTAGTCACAGAACATCTAAAACTACAGTGAAATCAACACCATCGGCTGGAAGGTCTTTGTATGAAGCAGATCTAGATTCTTAGATCATAAAAGTCATTCTTAAATCAGAACTCAGATGCTACAGCAAAGCAGGGTACAATCTCTCCACTGTTTTCATACTGACTTAACCAGAACCACATAACCATGTGAGACATGCACACAGCATCCAAACAAGAATCCTAAAGGCAAGAATGAATGCTATTACCTTCCATAAATGCTTTTGTTGGCATATCACAGATTATTTATAACAATTCTAACCAGTCCCATGACAGTGAAAAACAGAATACTCTTCCAGATAATTTAGAAGACAGAAAACAGGTTTAAATGTTGGCTTTTTAAAGAAGAAAAGTCACATGACCAGCACCTCTTACTGTGTTTAACTCTGGGCAGCAGTTTCAGGGGCAAATGCACTGTGAATGAGTTGGCAGGGACAAAGCTATCAGGACCTCTCATTTTCAATGAGATTTTAGGCAGCGAGTGTCAATATCCAGAGTGAAAGGAACAGACTTGTGATTTAACCTTTCTGTGTACAGCCTGTTCCTTGGTGGGGAACTCTTTAGGGTTCTACAGCTCTAATGGTGTTCCCCCTGACCAAGCCTGGGAGGTTAGGTAACACCTTCTTTTCTGCAAGAACCTTTAGAACCCACAGGATGATAACCTGCACCAATAACCTTACTGAGAAGCACTCTACCAGATTCCTTATGCTTGTAGCCATTTTGTTCTCTGGGGGAACCTTGAAGTCTGTGGAATACACTGTAGACAAAACTATTACATTGTTCCAGTACCAAAATAAACATAACAGCCAGTTTAAAAAAATAAACTGGACTTAACCATTGTTTTCTTTGCAATATCCAACCTCAAGCCTTTCAAATAGATGACATACATCCACAATGAACCTTTGTAAAAACATGAAGGAAGAGAGCACAGGTGGGCATCTCCATTGCTGGGACTGTCCATCACACACCACTTGCCACTGCAGTCTCCTTCGTCATCCACAGCCTGGAAATGTCATTGGCAAACCCTGCACATCAGTCAAAGGCACATAAATGGAAGAAAGTATGTATGTCCTCAGCTTCAATCCATATTTCCCATCTATTTCCCTGTACCCCATGCCAATCAGTTACCTCAATAATGTCAATGCAAAAGCAAACCCAAGACTTTTTTACCTAGTGAGAAGAGCAGAGGGTTCACAGGGCTGGCAGTTTTGATAAACACCTACCCGTGCTGTTCTGTCATCGGATTCATCAGACATCAAAAAGTTACAGAGCCCCCTGGTGGGTATGCTGGTGTTCTCTGTGATCCAGGTGTGCAGGTACACTTCTCCGAGGACCCGCTTCATGTGCTCCCTGGTCAGGTGCATCTCCACAGCCTCAATCTTCCCTTGGATCTCAAGGAGCTTTTCCTCTATGGGTTCACGGCCTCCAGTGTCTCCCATGGCAGTGAGTGAGTCTTCGGGGGGCTCCTCTGTGTCACCCTCTTTGCTTCTCTCTTGCGGGCCAGCCTTGGTCCCCTGCTTGGAAGTGCCTTCTTCTTGCTGTTCATCCTCACCATCACCCATCCCAGGTGAGTCAACCAATAGGATTTTTGAGTCCTCATGGGTAGGTTTCCATAAGGCCTCTGAAGGGGATTTCTGCATTGACTGATACAAAATCCTTAGGAGGAAAAGTTTAAAACGCCAGAAATAGGTGACTCCACTGCTTTCAATCTTTTTTTCCAAAGCTTCATGTAAAAACTGAGGGATGTGTTTATCTTTTAAAATTTTCCATCGGACTAGGTCGATCAAGTCCACCTGCTTGAAGAGATTCTGAACTGAAGACTCCAAGAGCTGAGCAGCCGCCTCTTCAAAGGTCTTGAGAGTAACAAACTGGACCTGGTAGTTCTTGTTAACAGGATGGAGGCCATTGATCATGCCTTCAGTGGTGATGATGGCCAGATAAGCACCACAGGGACTCACTGCAATGCCGTGAGTCCTCACGGAGCCAAATACATCTGAGAGTTTAATCAGCTGGTGTTCAAACTTCAATGCAACATCTGTGAAAATAGGAATCAACTGCCTCACCTTCCCATCACTAGAACAGGTGTACACTGTTCCATTCTGCTTGTCTGCAGTCATGGAGACGATGGGCAGTGAATGAAGGCCTGTGACATGGGAATTATGAACATTCAGACCTGCCTTTGAGATCAGAAGAAGACACCAGAACACATAGGAGCCTCTTGCTGCTACTACTAAGCTACAGCTACATTTCTGGTAAGGGTGATAAAGTGGCACACATTTGATACTATGCACAGGCAATTGGTCCATTTCTTTCCACAGGACAACAGGCTGCCTTAAAGTGAAGTAGCCTTTGACGGCTTTGAGATTGACAGGGAGAATTTTTACAGGTCCAAAAGCACTACCCACAATAAGGCCACTCATTTTCCGACTATTGTGCTCATATTCCCACCAAAACAAAACACTAGGGGAGCTGATTCCTGACTCAATGGTGTTGCATGAAGAGATGGACTCCTTCCCCACAAATGGCAACTGAAATTGCCACACAGCTATATTCCCGTTCTCAAAGAGGACAGCCAGGAGCACACTGCCCACATCCAGGCACTCATTGTTGTGCTTGACTTGCTGAGTGGTACAAATGCCTGACCATTCCATTCTGACTGGGGTCTGCATGCTGTGTCTCCTCTGAAACTCAGCAAAATCTCCAAGATTCCCCCCAGGACCCTCATTTTTAGAGAGTCTATAGCTGGTCTCATAAAGACGTTCTCCGTAAATCTCAGTCAGATCGACCAGCTGAACCCACTGCAGTCTATTGAGGTTCACCTGCACAGTCAGGCGATTGTCCATGGTCAGTGCTGCCAAGAGGCACCTGCCGTTCGCATCACAACCCATGGGAGACCAGCTAGTGTACTTGAAGCCCCGCATTGGGGGCAACGCCTTCCCCTCAGGGTTGAACATCCTGTCCAACATGAAAGTCTGGCTGATGGTAGGGTCTTTTGAAGAAGCAAACTTCTCCTTGCACTCAGCAACTTCTGTTTTCGAGCCAACCTGAAAAGAAGAGATACAGAAGCTATCAGATAAATAATATTCACCTGTAGTAACTCATTTCTATTAACATACAAAACAATTTCTATGAATCCTGCTAATTTGGGCATTATATGCATTTAAAAGATGAAACAGCCAGGTGTGGTGATGCACACTTACTAACACAAGCACACTGGAAGCCGAGGCAGGAAGATCGCATGTTTAGTCAGCCAAAGTTGAGGCAGAACAACTCCACCTCAAAACAAAAATAAAAAAACAATTATGGCCGGGCAGTGGTAGCGCATACCTTTAATCCCAGCACTCAGATCTCTGTGAGTTCAAGGCCAGCCTGGTCTACAGAGTGAGTTCCAGGACAGGCTCCAAAGCTACACAGAGAAACCCTTTCTGGAAAGAAAAAAACAAAAAAATCAATTATGTTTAAAGATTAAATGTGCTTTTACTCAAGGAAATGGCTCCCCCCTCCTTTAAAAAAAAGATTCAATAAATGTGAATATTCATGGCTTGGTTTCCAGATTCTTCTTAGAATTGGCCTATGGAATAGATAATTGATCTACAAGAGTGAAGGGAACACTTAGCTGAGTTAGTCACAAAACAGCAGCAGTTTTAAAAGTTAGGGAAACTATGTATGTATTTCCCTTTTTGCTACATTAGATAGTTAGATTTTTGTAATAGCTTTGTGACACATGCTGAAAATCAACTCAAAGACCTCATGAATGCTAAGTAAACGTTCTGTCACTGAGTTCCATTTCCAGCCCAACTTCAGCCTTTTTATTCTTATTCTCTCTCTGCCCACCTTGTTGAGGCAAGGTCTCTCTTGTTTCTGCTGTGATTGTGTTCTCTAGGTCAGCTGGCTGGTCAGCTTCCCCATGATGCTTCCATCTCACTCTAGGAATGTTGGGATTACAGATATAAGCCATCTCACATCACACTGGGTTTTTTCATGTGTGTTCCAGGGATTGAACTAAAGTCATCAGGCTTGTGCTTTTTGCCCACTAAACCTCCTCATTAACCAATTCCAGGCCTTTTAATCTGTAGTTTCCTTAACAAATCACATGCATTTTAACACCAACTGCCCTGTCTACTCTTGCTACAAGTAAGCTGGTTCCTATTCGACTTCTCTATTCCACCCACTGCTTTTCCTGGCTCCCTTGCCTAATTTGCCCCTTCCCATCTATCCTACCAGGTCTAGTCCCATGAGGCCTTAGATCATTCTAGCTTGCTTCATCACCCCCTTGACTAGGTCTGTAACATGTATCAAGTGCTCAGTCAAATGATGAAAACTCTGTAAGAAGATTTTAAAGGGACAGTAAAGACAGAGGAAGTTATAAATGACTAAAATGATAGCCAGGAAGGCTAAAGCCAAAACAACAACAAAGGTTGATCTAAAGATATTTTTTTACTATACTGAAAGGAGGAAGAACTTCATCTATTGTTTTCAGAAAAAAGTAGATAAAAGGCATGGTGGTTGGTACACATCTGTAATCACAGCATTTGGGACACAGAGTCAGGAGTATCACCCCAGCAAGTTCCAGGCCAGTCAGGATATGTGGCCAGATTTTATCTCAAAAAGCCAAAGAAAACAAAGGAGAAAAGAAAAAAAACCAAAAACAACAACAACAAAAAACAAAAAAACTTTCCATTTCGATTTTAGTGCCAATCTTTTTAAGAAACTTAATCTTGGAAATGGAAAGAGTAAGACATGATTAAAAGGGAGTTCAAGTCCTTTTAATATATGGATTTAATAAAAGTGACTTGATGTAAGTAAGTTCCCAAGCACTAAAGTTAAGCTCTAGAACAGGCAAAACTTGGAAAATATTCACTAAGAACCAGTGCCTACCTCCTAGCAAAGTTTAAGACACTGTTTTAAAAAATCTTTCAAATGTTAAGCATATAAAAGCTGTTAAGCCAAATTATAACAAAATTCCTCAACATGTCAGCAGTGAACACTCCATGAGCTAGCAATAGAGCTGGGGACATGGTTCAGTCATGTCACAAAGGAACTGAATTTAAACCCAGAACTCATGTAAAAAGCCAGGTACAATAAGTGTCTGTAAACCTGGTGAAACAGAGGTAGCAGATTCCTAGAGTTCACAAGCCAACTTCTCCTAAAAGCCACTATCCTAAAGTACTCCTACAAAAGATGTCTATGGACAGACAAGCTTTGGAAGTGCTCGATGTATCCACTGTCCCTCCTAGAAGTAATGGGAGCATATAAAATGCCTTGGCCAGGGAGTCACTGTAGAAACACATTTAACCAGAGTTAGGCAAACTTTTTAAAAGTAGAACCTTCCGGGTTTTGAAACAGACCTATAGCCAAAACATCCTTATTTTATGGCATCTAGAGATGGAGGACACCACTGATCTTGACCAGCAGGGTAATTTCTAACACACAATTAAATTCTAACTTCTCTAGTTAATTACATTTCCCTTCCCAACTCTTTCCATCACAAAACCAGTTACCAAATTTAAACAAGCACTCAGATGTCCAAGGACCTAACCACTTGAAAGTTGAGTTTCCACAGGCTGCCAGAACCCACCATTCAATCATATACTCCTGAGTTTCAAGCTGACCACTACCCATCTAAAAGCTGACACAGGAAGCCCCATCTGAAACTTCAGGTAGCAAGGAACTACCTGAAGGCAGAGGATGTGTGATTTCCAAACACAGACAACAGTCATTTTATGTAGTAGGCACAGATAATACTTCTGTAAGCAAATGATACACAATAAGACAAGGTCATAAATAGCAAATTGGGATTTCGAACTGTATCAGTAGTCTAATGGGGAAAAAAACCCCTGAGATTTATTCATTTTTAAGGTTTATTTTTATGTGTATGAGTGTTTGCCTGCATGTATGTATTTGTCCTATATGTGCATATCTGGTGCCCACAGACCAGAAGAGGGTGTAAAATCCTCTAGAACTGGCCGGGCGGTGGTGGCGCACGCCTTTAATCCCAGCACTCGGGAGGCAGAGCCAGGCGGATCTCTGTGAGTTCGAGGCCAGCCTGGGCTACCAAGTGAGTTCCAGGAGAGGCGCAAAGCTACACAGAGAAACCCTGTCTCGAAAAACCAAAAAAAAAAAAAAAAAATCCTCTAGAACTGGAATTACAGACAGTTGTAAGCTGTCCATTGTGGGCTGGGAACTGAACCCAGGTCCTTAGCAGAAGCAGCAAAACGCTTTTAACTGTTGAGCCATCTCACCAGTCCTGCAACTTATTTTTAAGTAACTATTTTCTTGCTTTTAATTATTTTTATTATTCAGCTTCCTATTATATAATTTCAATATCCAAGACAGAAACTTACAAACAGCTGATAATCAATGTTTGAGCTGTGATCTAACAAAACTATAGAGCAATAGCTTCTAAAAGAGGTTTAATGTTTAGTGCTTTAGGTGTGCTACATACTGAAAAATCATCCCTAGGTTACAAATGATCTGTTATTTGAGTTGAAGCACTAGCTAGCTGGGCAACACTGAATAGAGTTAAATCTCTAGGGACCAACTGACAGACTTCTTTATATTCATATTGCAACAATGAAGGTCTCTTCGTGTAAACTCTATCAATTAGAGGGCTATGTAAAGATTTTCTGCTACTATTTAAACAGTGTGGCAAATGTCAAATGTAGCAATATGTTAGTCATCAAAATGTTAGTATCACCTTCAAACCCACACTTACCACATTTACACAGACTTTTCCTTCATGCCTGTATAGTTACATTATATTCTTATCATGGGCACTAACATATAATCAATGCTAGACATTAAATGATAACGCTGTTATGTATGTATTAAACTTAATTCTCCATAAAGGCTAAACAAAGTAAGTTTTACTATTTCTGTTTTATAGATAGGTCTATCTGTTGTTCGAATCTTAGATGGTCTTATAACTGCTTTAGTTCCTGTTTCCTCACACCTTATATACCTTTCTCCAACCTGCTGTCACTTCCTGGGATTAAAAGCGTGCGTGCTTCTCAGTACTGGCATTAAAGGTGTGCCACCACTGCCTAGCTGTGTTTCCAGTGCGGCCTTGAACTCAGAGAGCCGTCTCCTGAGTGATAGGATTAAGGGTGTGTGCCACCACTGTCTGGCTTCTATGTCTAATCTAGTGGCTGGTTCTGTCCTCTGATCCTCAGGCAAGTTTATTAGGGCACACAATATATCACCACATTTATCTTGTGCCAAAGCTCAGTCTCTTCTCGTTTTGTTTTTCAAAACAGGGTTTCTCTGTGTTAACTGTCCTGGCTGTCCTGGAACTCACTTTGTAGACCAGGCTGGCCCTGAACTCACAGAGATCAGCCTGCCTCTGCCTCTTGAGTGCTGAGATTAAAGGCGTGCACCATCACTGCCTGGCTAATGGCCAGTCTCTTAACCCCCTCTTTTATCCTCAGCCCAGCAATCACTTGCTTACCTCTAGCTCAGGAGTCTCACACTCTTAAACTATACCAGATCATTCTATCCTCTTAAAATTGAAACAGCACTCAAGAAACTTCCTGGACTAACCTTCCTAGTTCCTAAACTGGTGTCATTTTCTCTGACTCTACAAGAAATACTTCAGCTCCAGGTGATCCATCAATACTCAAGCACCAGTTACACTCATGGCTTAAAGATCTATGTGAATGTGCTAGATGCCTTACTTGCCACCTGGATGGACTTTCTGAGCTTCTTTAAGAAGATCTTACATGGCTCAGTCAGTCAATTTGACTACCTAATTCAATCTGTAAGCCTGTAATCCCAGGCAGGATTATCAAGCTCAAAATGCTATTTAAAAAAAAAAAAAAGAAATATTATCCAATTCAACATTGTGTTTGAAATTTGAATTAAGTATGCTAAAAAGAGCTCATGAGGGCTACTCAAACTACTCAGGACTAATGGCCCGGATTTGGAATGGCTGTCTAGAAGAGGGTGGAAAACTTGGGCTTTCAAATAAACACACTGCTACGTGGGTATACAGCTTTACAGCACTCCTTGCTTTTACACTACATTGTCTGTTCATGATCTGCCAAAGAATGTAAGTTCCTTGAGAACTGCTCCCTACCCCGATTTATCCCAGAAACTACGTAGGCACTCACTCAGACAGATTATGTACTGCACATACACACAGAGCTATACAGGAAATAAAAAATAACCTTTTATATTTATAGGCTACAAAAAGGAACAACATCGCTCACTACTTAAATACACCGTGTTTGAAAATGGTGACATTAACACCATAAAACTTTAGAAACCCTAAAGTTCAGGGACAAACTTGGGTTATATGAAGTTGAAAGCACTAAATTTAGACTTGGAAGTCTAAGTAAGCACTGGATGTTCCCCGAAGTTTTATTTTTCGTTCCACTTCCAAAGATTTAAAGTATAAACCACTATTTACCTGTCTACCCAAAGAGACACAAGGACCATTCACAATGAAAATCGTTAAACAGATAAGACAACGAAATAGAACAGTTTTTCTTCTCAAAGCAAAAGTGGCGCGAGAGAAGGGCGCAGGCAATACAGTATAAAAAACAAAGCCAGTCCAGGGCGCCTCAGGGAGTTGGCCCCAGACAATAGGAGCAACGGTAGAGGCAGGTCTGGGGCTGGGTCAAGCGGGGGTGGAGTCTCAGAATCTCAGACTGTACCAGGACAATCGCAACCAGCGCTAGCTGCCCACCTGGAAAGGTGGAATGGACGGCGGAACCTGGCAGGGGGGCCGGGAGGCACCACCGAGTATTGGTAGGGGGTGTCTGGTAGCAGCGCACACAGCTGGCAAGGCTTTTTAGAAGCTGTAGCGATGTCGGTCCCTTGATTCCTAAGAGTTGGATGCGCAGGGAATCGTAGAGCCAGGTGCAGACCAGGCTTCCCTGGGGATCGGTGAAGCGTCCGCGGGAGAACCGCAGGCGGTGGACCCGAGGTTGAGCCATGGAGGTGACTTACTTTGAGGAGGCAGCTGTTGAGGGGTGCGGGCACCGAGGTGCGGTGGATCACCAGGTCCTGGCCTGGGTTGTGCACATCGCAGATAAGCTCCAGCACGGCGATGCTGCGGGCCGTGGACACTGACACCCGGTGGTCCTCAGACCAGGCTAGTGGCTCCAAGCCGCTCACCGCGTACTGCAGCTTCACGGCCGGCTCCCGCCGAGTCACCATGAGGCGGAACGCGGCGCTGGGCCCGGGGGCCGCTTCGGTCGCCGGCTCCTTCCCGCCCCCTTCGCCCTCCTCCTCAGGGGACAGCGAGGGCTCTTCAGCCGTGGGCCCCACCCGGGCCTGGTCCGCCTCGCTCATCTTCCTCGGGGCGCAGAGGTCGGGTTCCCGGGTGCACAGAGCCCTCGCCACCGTCCCCCCCGCCGCCCCCTGCACCAACGGCGCCGCCCCCAGCACCCTCCGCGGCCGTTCGTTAGCTTCAGGCCCTGAGCGCCACCGAGCCAGAAAGGACCCCGCCGTTGCTAAGCAACGCCACCCTGCTAGGCGGCCACGGAACTGCCTGTATGGAAAGTGCGCTCCGGGCAGGCTGACCCGCGGCGCGCCTGCGGCTGAGAGGAGAAGGTGGAAACTCCGGGGACGTCCTTTTGCTAGACACTGGGTGCTAGGCCCGACGGAAGAATGAGTCTCGTGTAGGTGACTGAGATGCTGAGAAGACCAGCGTGGCGGCTGAGGAAGACCCCGCCAGGTGGGCGGTGCGCGGCCTCTTCCGGTTTCTGGGGCGTTCGGGCCTCTTGGCTCCGGCCGGTGCGCGCGCTGCCGCGGCTCCCGGACCCGGAAGGGGCGGCGGCGGCGGCGGCCCAGCAATAGCTGCAAAGTACTTCACCGTCCACGTGCTGCTCGCTCGGGCTTCTGGCTTGGTCCGCAGCTCCGCGCCCGGGCTCTGGCTACCGCCTGCAGCTCGCTCCCAGACCGGCCTCCCAGGACGTACTTCGGACGCCGCCAGGCTCAGATGAGGCGGGTGAGTTCAACCTCAGCCCGGGAGCTGCAGCGCTGATGATCGGGTTGAGTTCTTCAGGTTGTCTGGAGGGACTGGCGAGAGGCGCTCGGAAACACGTGCGTCAGCCGGGAACCCTGCCTTGGGGACGAGAGCCGGGCGGGCTCCTGGAGCTAGCTGAAGAACTAATTAGATAGGGTTAGGATTGGAGGCTGTAGGAACCGGTCAAGTTCCTGAGGCTAGCTGGTGGCGGTCTAGTCAGATAGGGTAAGGATTGGAGGCTCGGATATATCCAAGCGGGAAAACAATGCCTAAGACATGACCATCGTGCAGATCTGAACTCCTGAGCCGGTCCTTCTAGTGTAAGGAAGGTTCAGTTCTGTTAGGAACGGGGACCGGACTCATTTCTTTGAAGAGCTTGTAAAGCGAAGGTTTTCATCCAGGTAGCAGGGAAAGACTATACAGTCATTGTAACCTGTTGCCCAGAGAGGAGAAAGGCGACTTAACGAACCGTATAGGAGCGGAAAGCTGGTTTTAGAGTTGCTGGCTTATCCTCTAGAAAACTTAAGTAGTCTGTTGGAAAATCATATGTGATCAAAGAGCAGGAACCATGTGATTGGAGGTCTCACCCCCCCACACACTCATACCCTAAAGATAATATGTAAGTCCATGGAAGTTGAAAAGCAAATTGCCGGTCAATTCAGATCAACCAATGTTTTGAAGATAAACTTCTTTGATTATCTAACACTCACTGCCTAGTTTCACTTTGGTAGAAGGAAGGAGGGACCTTAATAAGCTTAGATGCTTAGGAGTAAGGAGTCTTCTGCAAGCCATTGGTATAGCTGAATCTATGTGTGAGAAATACAGACAAGCCTTGAGGGTAGTGAAGGAGGGGGGATAGGATTTACGGCAGGATAGACTCGGGCTATTAGATACTAACTTTGTAACACACTGGCCTATGACCTTGGGGAGTTACATAGTTTCTCCTGTCTGAAAATAGGAATACTAATTTGTTTCTTATTAGATTGTTTATGAGGTTCCAATGGGATAATACCTGCAATAACTCTGTATACTGTCTGGCCCTCAGAGGCAGTTGCTGAGTGCCAGTAATCAAAATAAAAGCAATATTGTTTCCATTTGGGGAAGTAGATGGCTGCATTAGGTCAGCAACATTGGATCAGAGTGGTGCTTGTGTCCGGTGAAGAGCCCAGTAGGAGGATGTCCCTTGCTCACCTAGTATACGCAAGGCTTTTGAGTTCCACCCCCAACTATACAAAAAGAAAAAAGACAGAAAATACCAAAGTTTTAGCGAGCAAACAGAGTAAATAGGGTGTTTCAAAAGTGATTGGCGCCGGGCGGTGGTGGCCCATGCTGGGAGGCAGAGGCAGGTGGATCTTTGTGAGTTCGAGGCCAGCCTGGTCTACAGCGCGAGCTCCAGGAAAGGCGCAAAGCTACACAGAGAAACCCTGTCTCAAAAAAAACCAAAAAAAAAAAAAAAGTGATTGGCTGAGGTCATTGGATCTCTGATTTTGAGACTAGCCTAGTCTACAGAGAGAGTTCCAGGACAGCTAGGGCTACATAGTGAGACCCTCTCTCAAAAAAAAAAAAAAAGGCAGAAGAAGAAGAAAAGGTAATAAGGCCAGTGGGCCAGTGAGAGTCTCGAGGGTAAAGGTGCTTGCTGCCAAGCCTGATGACCTGAGTTTAGTCTCAAGAACTCAACATAAAGGTGGAAAGAGAGAAACAGCTCCTCATAGTTGTCCTGTGACCTCCACATGCTGGCCGTGACATATATGCTTACACACACAAACCAATAAAAAAGATGCTGCAGGTGTCTATAGAGGCCTGACTGCATCTGTGCTTCAGTTTATGTATCCAAATGGGAGTGGAAGACGGTGCTGAGCAGATTTGGTCAGAGTGGGAACTCAGGGTGGGTAGCTAATACACTGGGTTTGGAAGGACCTTTACAGCTTAAATTGGGTTGCTCTGTCTTCATACTGTGCAAAACTTTTTTTTCTTAAGAATGTTTTCCTTGTTATTAAAGTAATACAGTTTAAGAAAAATTAGAAGATACAACCCCACCTATAGTCACATACCCAGAAATAACTTAACATTTTGATATATAGCCTTCAAAAACCATAACTATGATATTTTTCTAACCAAATAGGATATAGTTAATCAGGCATCTCAGCATTATTTTCATGGAAGAGCATGGTCCATTCTGGGAATTTAAGAAAAACTGGCAAAAGGTAAAGGTGAACCTGAAGCTGAGGAGATGGGAGAGGTTGTATTCTGGAGACTTCCTAGATCTCCCTGCAGATTTTCCAGTGTTAGCCTAACAGCGGTGGAGAACCTGCTTCAGTTCACTCCGAGCACTTGTTTTGTTTGTTTGTGGCAGGGTCTTACTCTATAGCCTGGTGGCCTGGAACTCACTTTGTAGTCCAGGCTGGCCTAAAACTCAGCAGTCATCCTGCCTTAGTCTCATGGGTCTGGGCTTATATGTGTGAGCCACCATGCTGGCTTCTGATACTTGCTTTTAGAGAGACCTTGACTTACCCGTATAGGGTGGGTAGGATGCTGTGGTGTCTAGGGTCTGTGTACTGCCTGGTATGTTTAGTCCAAAGAAGGGAAAAGGAAAGGTGTGTAAAGGAGGCCATAAGCTTGCTCTGCTTTGCTGCAGCAGCATTCCAGACTGGTACCTGGATGCTCAAGGAGGCATGTCTTGTCTTAGTAGAAAAGCTTCCTGAACCTGAGATTGGCCTGCGACCCTTTAATACAGTTTTTCATGTTGTGGTGACCCCCAACCATAAAATTATTTTGTTGCTACTTCATAACTATAATTTTGTTACTGTTATGAATCGAAATGTAAATTCTGATATGCAGGATATCTGATATGTGACCCCTGTGAAAGGGTTGTTTGACCCCGGAGTTGCGACCAGAAGGTTGAGAACCACTGCTCTAGGGAAAGCTTGGGCACCATGCATTTAATTACATTTGTGTTGTGAGAATAAGCAACAGGCAAGAAGTGCCTAATGGTGTATGTCTATGATCAGCAGTCAGGCAGGGACTCTGAATCGAGGAGGGTTGGAAACAATACGATGGACGTGATGGATGGAGCGGCACTCTCATTTGGAGTGGGGACGGCAAGTAGGAAATGACTCCAGACCATCTGAATCTGAGCAGCTTGAGGGGTGAGGATGACAGATCCAAGCCCTAGGGAAGAACAGTAATGACAGTTTCCGCTTCCTGGGCATGAGCTAGGATTCAGCATCCCATTTGCTTTTTCATTCTCTTCTTAACATCCTTTATTGGTAGAAAAGAGCAGATTTCATTTCCCTGTGTGCCTCTGTGCTCACACAAAACAGGCTCCTAGGGGTGTGGTTTGACTAGTAAGCATGCGTGCTTCACAAGATAGGTTCTTGCTTCCCTTAGAATAGACTGAACTGGTTAATGTCAGCTGGCAGGACACTTCTCTCTTCCTGATCCCTACTCTCATCTTGGGTGACTTAACAGTTTAGATGGATGGAGGTCTTGTAGATGAATGGACTGAGATTGTCTCTCCCCTCCTCCACCCCCCATTTCAGATGAAGCCAGAGTCTGGTTGTAAACCCTAAACTGATGGTTGGCATATGGGGCATAATGATCTCTGCAGGAAGAGATACATTCTGTGGGCAGTCAGGCTTCACTCTGAGGAGTGTCTTCATGGACTAATGCACCTCTTCTTGATCTTTCCTTTTGGGAACAACACAGCAAACAGAGGCTACCAAGAGAAAGCACCAAGTGTCCAGTGATGCTCCACCAACAAAACGGAGGAATGAAGCATCCTCTCTTCCAGCCAAGAAAACCAGTGATAAAGAAACTCCAAGAACATTTAAGGGAGGTGCACACAAAACGTTTTCTCCAAAGAAGTACTTGGACAGTATAGGCAATGGAAGGCAGGAGAGGCCCTGCATCAAGACTTCGTCTCTGTTTAAAAACAATCCTGAGATCCCAGAACTCCGCAGGTGTGTCTTGCGGTGCAGGTGTGCCTCGGGTGTGAGCAGTCACGGATGCCGCCTTTTCCTTTGCCACCTTGGCACTGATGCATACTTTGTCTTTCCTCTGCAGAGCTGTAGTAAAGCAGGCTCGAGAGCAAGTGTTCTCTCCAGAAGCTTTCCAGGAGCTGGACCTCCACCCACACCTAGTAAGTATCCCAGCCTGCTCTGGTGGTCTGGTTCTTGTTCAGTCTGTGTCTGCCCTTGGCTACCCAAGTGAACTCAGGTGAGTTCACTCCCTGATGGCAGCACGGGTTGCCGTCCTCACTCTCCTCTCTCTCCCCTGTGATTTTTAAGAAGTGTTGACTTTCCTCACCCAGTTTGATTTCTGTTCCAGACGTCATTTATCCGGCTTAAAGCAGCTTTCTAATTACTGGGAGAGGTGGTCAAACTGGTGGCAGGTGTCTCTGTGGCCTCGGCAAG